GGACCCGCTGAAATGGGATCATCACACAAAGTAAGTGGAATGCGGAAAAGAGATAATACAGTATGAGCGCAAAATTGCAAAAATAGCGTCAACTATGTGTGCTCCTCGTCATAACGCTAATGAAAAATTGAGATTCTGATTCGAGGATTCTTCTCTTTACAAATACCACCCTTTAATTCACATCAATAATGAGGGAAAGCAACAGTAAGGTAATTGGATAGCACACAATTCTAGCCAAATATTAACATACAATGGAGACTTGAGGCAAACAACGACAGCAGGCCAAAATTAACCTTTAGTAGAGATTCCGAAGTAGATGATCATTACTGGAAAAGTACACAGCAACAGCATACAGTTATCTATGTTACTATCTCTGGGCAAAAAAATAATGCAAAACACAAGGTAAAAGTCAAGATGAGAACTCACATTCGCGATTGGGATTTATATCAATGGTTTGTGTCTCTTTGGTGTAACTGTCAAGTGAATGGGGCTTTAAATCAAATTCCGACACAAGACAATACTGAAGTTTTTGGGGGCGGATGCCCACAGAAGAAGACCTAGGAAATGTCAGGAAAGAGAAATGCTACCTTGTTCCATTGTCAACGCGTCGAGGTAGATGTGGCCCTATCTCCCCAACTTCTGGTGACTTCAACGGATCGATACCCAAATTTCTGAGTAGAGCATTAGCTTCACCACGCAAGTCAGTCGATGAAGCAGGAGCGCTATCAATGCCACCGAGACCACGGAGTTTCAGTTCTTCTCGCCTAAGCTTTTCTTCTCTAAGTGCACGAAGCTTCTCCTTTTTTAACTCTAACTCAGCTTTCCTGTCGGCTGTTGTTGACATCGTTAATATATGCGTACAATATATTTCCAAAAAGAACACCCAACTGACGGCGCCTGGCCCGAATGAACACCATCAACTTCACGGGCTCGAAAAGCCTCATAAAAGCATGAACATCATCCATGTATTGCAAACATTCAATTTGAAAACTGGAATTATCATAGCAACGCCACATTCTTTAGAAGACAAATTAAGACATAATAATCACAAAATATTGTTTAAATTTTTTTTAAATTTGATCTTAGAATAAATTGCATTCACAAAAAGAAATATGTAGAAAATATGGGCTCATTTCTCGAAAAATACTGCCCAGCTAGTAACGTTTTGTGAATTGCAGAAATAGTCCTCATGATGTCTTAAGCACTAACGTTCTAAAATTCAATAACTTAATTTAATTTGCACGAATATTGTGGTTTGCTCTCATGAAACACCACCTACTGATACGCCCCAGCATAATTTTGACGCGTGCAGAAATTTTCGCGTATATCAGCTCTAATATACTATACTTGCTGATTTTTATTTATGCCTTATAAATTCACTGTTAATACATTTGTTTTTTGCCTAATTTAACTGTAACTGCTCTAAATGAAAACTAGTGTTTCAGTTTTTGCGGAACGATAATGAAAAAAGAAGATACTTCTTTTCATTTAAATTCTGCGAATATGTTAACTGGATTGAAAAATATATATAAATAAATAATTAGAGGTACGATTTTTAATCTTTAATAATGAAAACATACTTATGTGCGTTCGAATTAACTTCTTTACTCAATTAGTAATTGAGTACTCATCTGGAATATATATAATGATAATCATGATTTCACGTTTGTAGAATTCGTTGTGATAAGAATGCGTTAATAAGAAACCTTTTAAATATTTTGATTAAGTAGAGCTAAAATTTTTCTGCACTTCTTTAAAGACATTAACCCTTTGCAAATGCATTTTCCCGCTTTGTTATAATTGATTGATTGTATCCCCAAATATTGAAAAAACTGGATCGGTTCTTTTGCGTTCTTGGTATATTCACTGCTTGATTACGACTAAGAGGTAGTTGGGGTGTCTTCTTTCCCTTGGGTTTTTGTGTTGAGTATTGTCGTCGCCACTGATGCCCCTTCAAGGAACATATGAAGTAAAACTTGGGCAGAGCTTTATAGATCCCTCCCAGAATTACTTCATGACCATGAGGTGCAATTTCCTACCTGCATCAGTCGACAAGGACCAACCAGGAACAATCAAAATTAATGATGATAATGAAGTTGGCGTACGCCTACCAAACGTCCCTGGGGCAGAACAACCTTCGACATTGTTTAAGGGAAACATTCGGCCGGTTCAGAAAGAATGCATTCTCATTTACAATAAGGCAGTATGTTTAATTCTTACTGCTTTTATGTGTCATTCAAAATTATTGTCCTGGTGTCCTTTGTAGACAAATGAATTAACACTCGAGCGGATATCCAAAGCTGCACAGTTGAAGAAGATTCGTGATGGGTCGTCTTGTAAAAGGCCAAAAGTTTCTCAACAGCCGCCCGTAGTACCTAATCCCACTACTGCATCGGGTCAAGTATCCAAGCCAAAGGTTCGAACAATGTCTGAATCCAGTTCCGACGAGGATAAACATCCTAGCAAACCAAAGCCCAAGTCCCCCTTACTTCACAGACCTCCCGCAGTTGTGTCAAACAGCCAGACAATTCTAAAACGCTCAACTCTAAGTTCTTCGTCATCATCAAGTGATAGTGAAGGTGAAGTTCCTAACAGTCCCGTGCAAAAATTTGGAAACCGACAGCCCTCAAGTCTTTCAAGTTTAAGCGACATAGATGATACGAAAGTTCCACAATCTCAGGCGAAACCCGCATTGAACCTGGATTTGCAATCGTCTGCGTCCCTTCAACGCGCCCTCGTTGCTAATGACCTGCATCTAAGTGAATCCGAATCTGACGACGACTCACTGTAGGTTCTTTTACGTAGAAGCTACCACGTTACATATTAATGTATCTGGGCTCCGCATTGCTAATGTAATTTTCGATTAATTGATAAATTGCGGCAAATTGCTGTGACCTCAAAACCTGGTTTCATTTATGCACTCTGGGGTATTGCATGGCAGCGGTAAACATCCATGTCATTGGCTATTTAGTCCTCTGAAATATATTTTGTCCTAGCCTTCTAAAATGCGTTTACTTACAGTGTTCTTACTAAATACAGGTCTGTACTTACGCATTTGTCAGAGGCGCTATAAATGCCACGCTACTAATTATAGTCACTAAAAACATTAGGTGTATTGTCCGAGGCCACTCTCCAAAATATCGACTAAAAATTGGGAGTTACTATTCCTTAACTTACGTCTTGAACAAAAGTAAATTAACGGCTATGCCACCTCCAACGCGCCACATACGTATCATAAAAACGTCACATTACTTGTTTAATTACGTGCACTTTAACACTGGAATTAATTACTCGACGACATTCATCGCATAAAAAGCACATTTGAGCCGTGCACGGCTCATTGTATTCGCTGGAGATTGTCATCAACTGTCCATTAATTTTCTGACGTAACGTAAGCATTCCTCGTGATTTCCTTCTATTTAACTAAAATGAATTACGATTTTGTAGAGTCGAAGGCCGTGGACACTCTTGTCTAGATATATACGTAAAATTTTCTAGGAAGAAATCGGGGGCTACTGCTTGTCACTTTCCTGACATAGATGCTGAACCACGCTTATTGTCAAGTACCGATCACTGTTAGACCACTTTTACCGCTGTTCAAAAAAGTGCGTGTAATATCTACCTTCTAAAACGTACACATAACGAGGTTATAATTGTTAATGCAGAATGCAATTGAATTCATTAAATTAGCAGTTATTAACACGGATCGGCATCGTAACGCCTACCTAACACTACGATTAGCTCATGAACTAAATGTGTTCATTCTTTGCATTGCTGGGGATTACATGGCACGATGTATGGCCGTGCTATTATTCAATCAGGTGATTTGAAATCGCTTGTAATTTGCATTAATATACGTTCCACCTTATTTAACTCACTCTATTGCTTACACCAAGGTGTTAAACATGAACTTTGCAAAGCATAACGCTACTAGCCACGAGTTGTGTGGTCCAATTTACGACCACCATTACGAAAGGCAAATATGAACAATTTCAACGTATCTACAAAAGACCTTACGCCACCTAAAAACAGGAATGACTCTACAACACAAATCTTCCAGAAAAGTTCAACTGCTTGTCATAACTGCTTATCTCTCGCTCAGACACACTGCATGGCCGGATTGGTATCAAATAAATTTTACGCTACTGATAAAGCAAACAAAGAGTAAATTATACAGTGCTGGTCCCAAGGGTCCTTTAATATACCTTACGAAGTTTTCAGTGTAATATTTTACACTAGGGATATTCTGTCGGAAGTAAGGACTTAGTGTGACAATACTTCCTAGGGCAAGTACATAGACGTGTCTATCAACTTCGCAGGATATCTCACGCATAGTTTTATATAGAAGCTTGTCATTGTAAATGCAAGCGCCTTGCCACCAATCAACCATCTGGGCGTATTCCTACCAAATGAGCTATGATCAAAGGTAAAAGCGTAAAAAGTGTTCTCAGCAACAACATTAGTAATGAAAATCAGTTTCAGTACACCGCGAGTTTAATTTAAAGCAGGAATCTGCATTTAAATATCGCTACCGCCTGAAACTCATTCTACAGATGGCTGTTTTAGTTGCCGCTACTGATCAATTACGAGTAACATTACTATATTGACATGGCACGCTAAGGGGCACACGTCTTCGAGTGTAAATTCTGCGTAAATGCTATATATGGCAGGCAGAACGGCGAATAGTTTAGTTAAATGCAATAAGAAAATTGAAAACTCTGATTCAACGCCGTACGATCTACATTTAGAAAGCACAACAAACTATAGCAGTGGGGGGAGTAGTGAAATCCAATGTTGCAGAGGCGTATGCACACAAAATACGTTTAGGTATACAGCAACTCAAACAGCATACTACATGCTCACCCAATACGGGAAGTATGGTACTATTTGGAGCGACTTTGGTTTAAGTAGTGGTTATAGGCAATAACGGTCATAAAGGCCCTACCCAACAGCTTGCCATCGAGTGAGATCAAATCAGCATTCATTTTGAAAGCCAAAATGAATGCCTCGTCGTAAATGCCCTATAATAAAGTACTAACCTTGAGAAACAAATTAATTACGACATTGAAAAGGAATCGAACAACGACCGGTGATTGACAAGTCACACGAACGTCAAGATATACCGCTTTTTCGGAAATGAATTGTACGATAATCCAAAAGTCATGTACTTTACATTAAACGGCAAAAGTATTATAAAAGAAGGTAAGGAATTACAGACCCAGGAAGCGTGAAACTGTAAATTTCCCAGTATTCGAAATTGTGCAAAAAAATAAAAAAATTAAGACTTGTCCTTTTGGATCCATATAATTGGTTTTGGACGAGAGCGGAAGATGATCTTCGTCTTAATAACTGCAGTGACAGAAATATTTATTCCAGCACCACTCCGTTCCCGACGAATAACTGCAAAGGGTTTTGGGAATTTAACGATCTTCCCTTGTAGGAGGTGGTGACCAATTATTAAAACAGGCTCATTCTAGCATTGTAAATTAAGAAAACAAATATACCTCTTTTGTAAAATGTAGATCACCAATAAATTTTCCATCAAGAGTCCCGCCGCTTTTATTGATAATTTCACCCTGCAATTCAATCATACCCCATTCTTCAACACCCGTGCTATTTTTACTATACGGTTTAAATGGAAAACACACCTCGAACTACGAAGCTTCAGAATCATTTAGGTATTCACAAAGTGCGGAACAGGCAGATATCTTGAAGTCCACTGTTTTAAACATCACCTGTGAACAAAGCTCCCACTTTAATAACCTTGCTAAAAGCTCTCAAAAGTGCAGCTTTTAAAAATAGGCATCTAAAAACGCTCTTAAAAGTTCGTACAACATATATTTTACTGAATATGCATATGTATTAATTAATTGTTGACAATTTCCGGAAATTTGCTCATCGAGAGTTATCTACATGCAAATTCTTAGATTTCTCAGATTAAACGGTCGGTTAAGATCAAAATTTTAATCAGATGATGCAGTTTTAACTAATAATACCTTTGGAAACAAACATTCACATTTAAGTATCCAATTTTTTCGCGTACAATGAAATATTTTAAATCTCTAATTATTGTAGACAAAGTTTTATTTTTACTGTAGAAATTTAAATAAGATTATATATTTGTGGCAGTGTGCTTTTATTAGCATAAATCCCCCTTAATATATTCAAATCGTATTGTTGTTTGACAAATATATTCTTGGTTTATCAAAATTTTAGTTAATGTAAAGCAATGAACGTATTATTAGAGAGCCAAAGGCCTTATTTTTTTTGCTTGTGTACTCACATTTAATTTTTTAACATAAAGTACAACTAATCACATCGCAAAGGCTTAACTATCGCCTTCTCACACACATTCGTGGTCATGCGTTGCACAGAATTCAGTTGTCATTGATATCAGCATTCTAGAGGTTACCTAATCAGCGACAGTGTAAGCATAAAAGTCTAACATTAATAATGTTTTGAGATAGTCATGGGAATTTACGTCATGTATTATGAAATGGAGTAAAAATATTTCTATATATCGTGAAACCGGTTGGGGGTATTTCTCAAACAGAAAATTAGTTTCCTGTTTACCTGTTTTACATAATATGCAGGGCAAAACGGAGATCACTAAAAAATGAATTTACCATCCATAATCAATTAATATAATCCTGAGTATCACTTACATGAAACACATTTAAATTGGAGACGCATATTGAATATTGTTTATTTTGGAAAATGCAGACATGATTTGGTGGCAATCAAAAATTTAATATAGTTTGACGCGTTTTCCGATTACAGAACTTATAAGAGAGGAATAGGTTTAAATGATGCTTGGCACATTTCGTCGTTAAACAAATTATCGACAATTTTGTTCAAGTATGAATAGTTTTTATTGACATTAAAAGTTAGTATGTGTGGTTGTTCACAAACAAATCCCAACATCGAACTTATTCTTGGTAAATCGATGTCCATTAATGAAAGTCTAACAGAAAATGTAAATATTTAAGTTTACAGCCATTAAAGTTTTTATTTAAACCCATCTAATTTTTTCAGCATTCTGATAAAGATGGAATATTTAAAACTAGTGGTGCCATTAAATATATCATGTTGTAAATAAATATATATGTTACTTCTAACAAAGCTTATATTTCAAAAACGATTCTCCAGTATATTGGCACTGTTGCCTGTAATGTAGAAACCACGGTTTTTTGCCTAAGCTTTTAGCTATGAGTCTATTTTCCTTAGGACCTCAATGTTTTGCAAACTAAAATTCGGTTGTCCACAGTGTCGATCAACCTGCTTGACAGTTCTAAGAATTTTCTGTCTATTCATAACCAATGTGTTTCCATTTTCAAATTTATGCTTTTTGAATAAGCGGGCAAAAATTACCCCGCATGGAGTGTTATTAGCCAACGAGGATGCTAACAACAATGTCTTATGAAATAAAGTTATTAGGAATTTTAACAAAATCCTATGTGCTAAAACTCAAAATAGGTCACTGAAACAAAGAATAACCCTTTTGATAAATCCGTTTAGAACATTCAACAAGCTATCCATCAAAAGATCTGCGTTTTGCCTCTTGCTGTAACAAAATGATTCAGATGAACTACACAGAATCACAGTTTGTTTCGGTTAAAATTACGGAATCGTAATCTAGAAAAGAAGCAAGCTAACATAAACAAGGTTTGGTATCAATACATGGCATCTATTTTTCGTTTTTCGGGCAACAAAGGGATGAATAGTTTAAGTCCCAAGTAAGCACGTCAAATGTAAAGTAATTTTTTGGTTCTTGATTTGACTATCTAACAAATGTTGCATTCGATACTTTTAAAGCTTAAGTTACTGTTAGTTAAAGGATGCGATAGAGGTGCATTACAGATGCGCAAAATGTCCCTCGATAACAAAATAACTAAGAAGAACTGGGTACAAGGAAGATAAACTCTTATTTTTACTTCAGAGTTGGTGACTTTAAGTATATGATTAATACAAAACGTTTTCGGTGGTGCGCATGAATTACAGAGGACAATTTTACCCGTTAATGAGCGTAGGCCGGTAAAAATTATAGTTTGTGCCTAATGGAACATGACAAGGATAGTCGTAAAAGCGACAAAGGCCAAACCAGGAAAGAATCATGGTAAAACACCAAAAGAATTACTTAGCATGTTGATGGAGATAACGTCGTTGATTTACGAGATCCAGAACAATGTAAGAGGCAAGCGATTTATTGGATTTTCCAATGAAAAAACGCTACCAGCTAAAGGTAGCGAATTTCATTGTGTGTAGACAGAAATTTGTGAAGTTGTTAAATTAAGTAAGACAATATACAAACTTAAAATTTGCTTCTGTTAAAACGCAAACCGACGAAGCAAGCTTTAAATGCACAGATTTGTACCAAGCCTTTTTACACTATTTTCGTTGGTTTATTGTGGTGTCATGTCACCACTGACAAAAATTATCGTAGTTAATTAATAACTTTTGACTTGAGAGAAAGCATTTTGGTCAGTTATATCTGCACCAGTTTGCTTTAATTAATACTATTGAAAATGGTCGCAGTGAGTTAACATTAAAAATGCCAATATGACGACATCAAAGTAATCAAATATTATTCCGTAAGGGCCCCAATAAGAAAATATCAATTTCGTATATTACAAAGGAGAACACTGTTAAAATTTAAAAAAATGAAATATAATTAGAGGAATTCTGGTTATTCCTTGGTGTCATGTGCAACTATGAATTGTAAAATGAACAAATTTTTTTTTAAATTTTTTGGAAAGATTATGAATATTTTTAGAAAGCCTAGATATGCCTAAGTTTTAAGTGTGTGTCCTTCAATGAAATAAATGTGCCTGATATGCCTTGACCTTTTCAATTTCTTCAACAAGTTTCGAGTAAATATTGTGCATTAGTTTGCAACAAATTGTACATATTACCCAAATAAAAAATATTAAAACACGTAGGTAAGTTAGGTGACACTTAGTTTGATTTGTTTACAGTAGAATTCGAAAAGAAATCATTTTTTGAAACTATTTTGTTTTATGTGCCCAAACAGCTGTTTGACAATCTGGCGGTTTCTACCGTCGCCACTGTTGGGCTCTTCTTGGGTTAGATCGGACGGCTGTCTCTAGAGTAGGAGATGGAGCAGGGTTATGAGAAGCGTCTTTTGGGGTCGCCGTACAAATCGGTAGATAACTTAATAGCAGTTTTTATCCTTAAATTGTAAAATGTAAATAAATGTCCTTGGCTTTAATTACTTTTGTGTCTATTTTGCTAAAACGGTTGTTCCCAAATATTTAATTCACCTTATTCTGTGGGAATTTATGCTGCATAAGAGTGCAATTGTTCAGAAGATTTTGGGCTTACGCCTGATCTTAAGTTAATGATTGCTTCGTATTTTTCGCTTCCGTCCAATTTTCGACGTACGTTTTATGTGAAATTTTTTGTTACTAATTGTGTAGTTGTTTGGTTGCCAATGCGTTTGTGTAGGTGTCGTTATGTAATATAAATTGAGTTTATTGCCACATGTTAATTTAGTTACTTTTCAGGTCACCTTTCTATGTAATCTTATTTGAATGGCTCAATTTTAGCCTGTTAAGCCCGTAAGCCCTCTGACAACGCCATTGAAGGAAAACTACCTCGACCGCTACATTCCATCTCGTTCCAACGCTAAGTGGAAAAACCCCTCGTTTGAAGTTTCAAGGTGCCTGTTTCAGTCATCATCCTCTCAGTCATCTGCAAGCGGCGCAGGACAACAAGCAGATGGATCAGCTTCGTCTACCTCAGACAATAGTAATGTTGGGATGAACAATACTGTGGTGGCTTCATTTCGTGGCAGTCTGTCAAGCCATAATGCCAGTGCTTCCCTTCATCGCACCTATTCAGATTCCACTAACAACGACTGCCCCCCACAGTTGGCTATTGTGTCGGCTCTTGTGCACAATGAACTTGTTGAATGTAACGAAACACAAAGCCAAAATTCATTAAATGATTCGTCTATCAATGACACAACAATTTTAGCGCCCCGAGAAAATTTTAACATGTTTTCTGTAAGTGTCTATCTTAAATAATATTGTAACCTTAAACCGAATTCAATTTCTAATTCCCTTTGTAGTACAAAATTAGGAAGGAAAGTCCTTGCAAACTGAAGTCATCTCCATACACTTTATCCCCGGTATCAGAAAAAAGTCAGCGACTTCTTCAAAGCCCTCAGAAGGTAAATTTTTCGATGTCGCTCAATCAAATCTGCTTTTCAGTGCTTTATAATATAGTTTTTTTTTAACTCAGCACCATCGTCAGATCCCTCGAATGCCCTACAAGGTACTTGATGCCCCAGATTTACAGGATGATTTCTACCTCAACCTTGTTGATTGGTCCTCTCAAAATATGCTTGCAGTTGGATTAGGGTCTTGCGTTTACTTGTGGAATGCATATACGAGTCAGGTGACTCGTCTTTGTGATTTTACCGAAGATACAGACGCGATCTCCTCAGTGGCTTGGACGAAAAAGGTACGCACCTGGTGTCAGTAAACTCAAGATGTTAATCCGTTGATGTTTGTGGGTATTTTATGAATGTACTATGCCTAATTTGCAGAAGAATCTTATCTGGCACTAAATCTACGAAACATTAAGAGCGCTCAGCTATGACCTTAACGTAGATATTTTTCTAACTCTAATGATCTGCCCAGTGAGTAATTTTAATATGCGAGTGAAGCGTCCAAAATATTTTAATGTAATGCATGACAAATGTTTGCTTGCGTCGTCCTGCCACCAGCACCTTTTTATTAGGGTACAAACTTAGCCGTAGCGACGTACCGTGGTCGCGTGCACATTTGGGATGTTGTCGCCAGTCGATGCGTTCGTCGTTTGGAGGGCCACGTAGCGCGCGTCGGGGCTCTCGCATGGAATGGTGATCTCCTTGCCTCAGGTTCACGCGATCGTCAAATCCTCCTCCGTGATATTCGTTCCGGTCCAACCTCAGGCGGCGGACTAACACACAACCCTAATGCCGGCTGGTCTGGCCTTGAAGCCCATTTCGAGGCGTCTCCGCCGTCCGCATCGACTTCGCTAGTCAGCGTTGATCGTGAATTGCTATCCAACTCGGTTCGGGCGTCCATTTTCGGAAGCGGTGGTGGCAGTAGTGCAGTCGACGGTGGCGGCAGCTCCTCTGCCACACCTAACTACACCGGCGCTATACCCTCCGACCTGGGAAATACCTGCCCTGGGAGTGTGCGCGTCCTCAAGGATCATCGACAAGAAGTGAGTGCACACTCAACCTGGCTTCTTTAGCATACGCAATCTTCATGCCAATCCGGTAGCCCTTCTAGATATCTTAAGGAAGAACCTGACTTTTAATCCCTAAATACTACTAGTTGAATATCTACGCCGCCATTTTCTTACTTCAGCTTAGATTGGCTCAATTATTCTCACCTAGTAGCCTCTTACCTCGATCGGATGGCCTTTTTATGTGACCTGAAGCGTTCTACTTTTTCTGGTCAAATTATGGCAATTAAGACTTCGCGGTGTAATCAGTTCACTCTGACAGTGCTTTCGTGTGTGTCCTTTTGCCAACCGCTCTGATTACCTGAAGCGTACACGCGTACTTAGCACACCCACACATACCTCTTCGCATGCACCCCCGCTGGGTGTCAAGGCGAAAGCATCGGTTTGTAGTTTGGCTTCTGGGCGACGCATCCTTCAACTTGGTTGTTGTATACAGACATCACGTCCTGCTCAAGTATTTCGCCCGGCGTTGTTAAATTTGGCTATTACCTACCTTAAGGAGACCCAAAACTGGGAACCTCTGGCTTCGTGGCCATTACCCTGACTCGTTCTTTTCCACTGATTGTCTGTGTGCGGCTATTAGAAAGACATTCTTTTCGAAACCGATATTGTTATTGCCGAGTTCCACCTATTATGCAAATTCTCTTTTTGTGCTAGTTAAGAATTGCTTTTGACCTACTCTAAAATCGTGAACATGGCCTCCATACTAAAAAGTCGCTAATTTAGGAAATGGCTAGCTCTTTTTGCCTGCGAAGAAGATGCGTACTCAGGTGCCAACAAGTGTTTCTATTTCGTCGCGTTGTTCCCCCTTAAGGTCTGCGGTCTGAAGTGGTCACCGGACAACCAGTACTTGGCCTCCGGCGGCAATGACAACCGTCTCTTGGTGTGGAGCCAGCATGTGGCGAATTTGGCGGGACCCGTACTGGCTTACGAGGAGCACGTGGCCGCGGTAAAGGCCATCTCTTGGTCGCCCCACCAACACGGCCTCCTCGCCAGTGGCGGGGGCACAGCCGACAGGTGCATTCGCTTCTGGAACACCCTCTCCGGGCAGCCGCTGCGCTCCATCGAGACTGAGAGTCAGGTAGGTGCTTGTTCTGGCTCTTCAGTCCAGTTTTGTTTTCACAAGTTGCCAGCATTACATAGTAAATCCTTTCCCAGTCAGTCAGGCAGCGCCATATCTTTGTCAAGCGAATGTCCCTAAGGTCGCGTTTTATTGGTTAGCAAACGACGGGCCTTCGGGAGTGCTTAAATCCCCGCTGCACTGCACAAAATTGTCATTTAGGGAACGGTGATTAATGAGCACGTTCGGACATGCAAGAAAACATACGTTGTCTCCCTGCATGTGTGTTTATGCAGCCCCTATTTGACCCAAATCGAACTTGACACGTGCCTCCAACACCTGGACAAACAGTAACCCTCCTGTGTTCCACTTCTCTCTCTCTCTCTCACTCGCCTGTCTTTCTTTCTACCTGTTCTATTTTTTTGTTGTCTAATTGGAGGTGAGGTGGGTGGGAGGGGGGATTAGTGGTGCCCGATTTTGCAAGTGACTGCATCGCGCGAGCAACCACCACTTTGTTGTTTTAAGAAAACGCTACACACTCAGACATGACTACACGAGACACCTTCGTGAATGTTGATCTTGTCTTCACCTTCCGTTTTGTTACATTCATGGCTTAAACAAATGCCCCACCACATTACCCTATTCATTACGAAATACCACCGGATTTCTACTGCGTCATCGCCCAGAATAAGCGTTAGGTGTAATCGTCATGTGTCGAGGTGGTGTTTTGGGGCAAGGTCATGCGCACAGCCCAGCCTCCACGAGCGGCAAACGCCCAAGCCACCCAGCTCCACCATTACCTCGCTGGGCCCACGAGCCATCTCAGACGACCAGGCACAACGGCTGTGGAAGTACATAATCGTCAGCATCAATGGTCGTCCAGTTCGTCTGTAGCTAGACACGGCTTCAGACATCACTGTCATCCCTGAGAAAACGTGGCGCTCCATAGGTCGGCCTCCTGTCAGGCCAACTCCTCACAGAACGGCCGCAATTGCCTGCGGTGCAGAAAATAAAATCCTGGTCGAAGTGCAGTGTAGTGTATCCTTCCGTGCCAAAGCCTTCAGCGGCTCGTGTAACGTAGGCAGAACCAAGAAAAATTCTAGGTCTGGGTTGGTTCCTGCGATTGGGTTTCGCCAATATCCCGGTCATCCCCATTTGCTAAAACCCGCAGTCTCCGTCTGCCCTCGTCCACATCAATTCGACCACCAGAGAGAATGCCGTCATTGTTGCCGTATCCATCAGTGACAGCCTCACTTAACGACTATCGCTGGTAGTCCATGCTTTCCCATTCACGGTGAATGACATTCAATGGGAGACCGCCTCAGACAGCACATTGCAACAGACCATCTGCTGCGTACAAAGTTGATTGCCCAAACGTCCCCTCACAAGAGACCTCCAGCAGTTGTTTCACCGATGCCGGTCCCTCTGCGTTGTGAATGGCTGCCTGATATTCGAGAATCGTGTCGTGGTGTCCAAATCCCTTTTCTTGCGGATCCTCTGCCAATTTAATTCTAGGCATCCCGGTACCGACCGCATGAAGTCTATCGCCCACAGCTATGCCTACTAGCCACAAATGGACCAACAATACGCAGACCTAATCAAAGGCTGCCCTCACTGCCAAAAAGCCACTGTGATTCCCCCGAGGACCTTAACAACCTCAAGCCCATAGATACGGAAGCGCACGAAGCTTCTCTGCACGAAACCTCCCACTCATTTTGTGGTTGGGCCTCTCCTGTACGTTCGAGACTGCCGACCAGGACTTGCTCCATGGATCAGAGAAACAATCGCACGCTGACGTGGAAAGGTCATCTTCAACGTGATGGTGGGTGTCGATACATGGATGAGATACCAAACCCAAAGTGCGAAGACAACGAACCAGAAGGTTAGCATTCCGCAGGATTACTTTTCAACTCTTTTCAAATCCCAACGGAAGCGCCAATAGAACAGACAAAACGGCAGCAAACGAGCCTGCGCCCCCAAAACCGAGTAGGCGCCGACACCACTGCAAGTCGGCCCAGAAGAGAAGTGCAATAAACTTCTTCAAGGTGGAGAGGTGTTGACGATGTCAATATTCCCCAATACAAGAAAATTAACACAGTGAGTTGTGACGTCTGTTCACTCAAGTTCTGTTCACTGGATTGCAACTCTACTGTCACTTCGATCATGTGCTCACTGCAAAAACTCATCGCACATCTGAGCGTCCACCAACCTCCGCCTCGACTTCCGCTTTGATCCCGTCTTGTACTGGACCTTTTGGTCTGTACGCCGAAACCCTCCGCACAGGCTGTAGTCTTCTCTTATGTTGGTAAGCCTTCAGCGTGCCAAGCAAAGGGTTCCAACTGTTGGCTCGTGGATTCGCATCGACACGTCAGGTAAAAACGTAACGCGGTGTGATCGTGGGTGTGTTGTTTTAGGCCTGACCCAATGACTAAGTAATGTTTCAACGCCCTTTAGTGCAATGCTGATATGACGCCTCCGTCTTTTCTGTGGTCAGGGTGCGGCTAGAGGGTTTGATTTCTCAAGTCTATGCAGACTATCACTTCAAGCATTTGTGGTGCCATTGACTAATCGTGATTGTCTAGACGTACGGCATGTGGTTAGCTTTACGTTTTAGGCATTATTCCTTTTCAGAATATCCACTTTCAGGGGTTGGTTGTGGTGTAACACTAGGGAACTTCCACCGGTATTTTGACGCAGTGGTAGCGGGAAAGGGAAGTTATGCAAAGTACGTCTGTTCAAGTTGTACACACTCTTGCATCTGACCCCTATTCCAGCTTCGATTCACTGTGTAGTTGTGCCCCAGCATTCTGAGGGTAATGGAAACCACTACTGCTACCAACCTCTTTGTATTGGTCTGAAATAGGTGTTGTCAGAATGCTTGTGTGCGATTGCATTGATAACTGTGTTGGACAGACCTCTGGTGTCCGTTAACAAACCACCTAAGGCGACCTGCTTAGGCTTCTCGTGGCAATAATTAGCATAGTCTGCGGTCACGGCCTTCCGTCTCATAAATTTAAGGCCACAGCAGGTTCAGGCGACACCCCAACCTCGATTTGTGTGTGTGGTAAGCGCGTGCTCTCAGTCACGTACTCGACGAGGTGCGGCCAACTTGCTCACCGTGTGCGTCTCAAAAATGACGCACGTGCCTGCGTGTGTGCGTACATGTGCATGTTGAGATTCCCCCCTACCCCTTTCAAAGACATGCCACTCGCCGAAATCAATTTGTACCGCTCTCACCGCCACACGACATTCCCCCCTGACGACTAAGGGGAGCGTGCTTTCTGCCAGATTATTAATCCCATAAATCGTTTGACTTGTGAAGACGAACGCAACTCTGTGTTAGGCGTGGTGGGTGAGGCAACGCCGCCCTGCATCCTTGTTTCTCTTGTGAACCAATCTAGTTGCTGCGATGCCATGCTCTTTCCCCAAAGTCGAGGTTTAGGCAAGCACGAAGCAAATTTCGCTAATTCTTGACAAGCCCAAATTCTTCCCCATCAATCGTTACTCACTCGTTCCACGAAATTCTGTCAATATCACGAGCTTTATCGCCAGTTCTTCAATTGCTTGCTTTACTTTCAATCAGTAAACGATTGTCATCGAACTCAAAAAGGCTGAAATCACCGAATTCCACCGAGCTGATTAAATTATGCAGTGACACCCTTTTGGAGCTGGTGCAACCTCGAATCTCTGGCATGCACCTTTTCTACCACGATGCACTCAATCGCTTTCTTTCTCCGAAGTTCGCATTACGCACTCCAAAAGTCAATACATTTAAATAATTGATCGGTTTTGTGTCAGTAAAAAGGACTAATATTTATTGCTCCTGTGAACTTTACTTGGCGCTGTCAGTGCCCTCGCTAATGGAAACACGATTCGAGTTGACACCGCCGCCATTCATGATTAGTGTTGCTGACACGTAGTTTTTGTGAGCCGATTGGGTGTTGTCGAGTTATTTTCATCCTTACCTCTCCCTCCCTTGCAGGTGTGTAATCTGGCGTGGTCGGCGCACAGCAACGAGTTGGTGAGCACACACGGGTACTCGCAGAACCAGATTCTGGTGTGGCAGTACCCCTCGCTGCGCCAGTTGGCCAAGCTCACCGGCCACTCCTCGCGCGTCCTCTACCTCGCCGTCTCACCAGATGGCGAGAACATCGTCACCGGGGCGGGGGATGAGACTCTGCGCTTCTGGAATGTCTTTTGTCGGGCCAAAACGCCCAAGGTACGCGTTTCTACTACCCACCTGTCGTGTGTTAAGTAGTCCATTCCCACACACCCGTCATGTTGTGACGGTGGCTATTTCTTTCCTTTTGCAGCCTCACCCGTCGTCTCTCAATCTCTTCAGTGCAATTCGGTGATAATCCGACGTACAGCTTTCCATCCTCCAACAGATAAACACTGCCAGCATTTCTGTCTTAACGTGTACCGAACCGAGCGCTCTTTTTGTTTTTCATGCTGACGTATCAGAGGACAGATTTTTTCTCATGATTTGTACATGACAAATACTTGTACCATTTAATTCCCTCTTTCTCACCCTCTTGACGTACCTCTGTAAATTCGCTTTGCATACTCCGAATCTGGCAGAAGTTTCAATACGGCATTTCACCTCCACTCACCTTGCTTTTTCGTCTTCCGTTTCTGATCGATTATTTTTATTTCCTCGTCTTTAACCAACGAGTATGAGTCCATATTCTGATCATCTTATGCCGTGAAGCTGTGTATACACCACCCCTGCATTTTTCCTTTTCCAAATCGCTATTTACCGACAGCAGAGTGTGTACCTATTTGACTAACTCTTTGTCAATGAGTACCTGAAATGTATCTAATTGGTAAGACCGTTGCTTCTGTTTTAATCCCATCTGGAAAGGTGAGCGATTTTGAGATGCCAGCGGGCTAGGGTTGTGATCTCTAATTCCTCACTTGCGAGGCCAATTTCGAAGATCAGCGTCAACCACGCTGAGTTGTGTTTGGCTGTCGATGATCTGCTAGTGTAAGGCTTGATACAATGCGTGCCTTGCACTACGCACGTGAATTAAGTGATAAAGCACCTATCCGCGCAGTCTGTAAACAATAACCCAACGCGGTGCCTGCGTCGTTTGTGGAGTAACTGAAGGTCATAAATCTCGTTATTGTGAGTGTGGGTTGTTCCGTATGTCGAAGGATTATACCTCGACCTGAAGTGCGCTGTGTGTGTGTCATAACGCGGCATGGAAAGGCAATTCATTACTCCCGGACTTGATAATTTGAATAGAAATAGCCTTCCAATATAATAGACTGAAGCGCCCACATTTTCTACGCAGTTAGATTATTCGACTGATGAAATACTATGTTCTTTGAGCTCAGAAGACCTGAAAATTGTCACTTAGTTGCGAGATGATGTGCAATTGAAAGTTGTGAGCATTACGCAGTAAAGAATATGCATTTGTGGACTTTGCTGTGCTTTTATTATTGTCGGAAAGAGTTGTACATATTCCCAAAAAATAGATGATGGTGCAAACACTCCCCTTTTGATGTTCGACTGAGCTCGAAGTAGAAAAATTGTTAGCTAGGAAGGACAAAAAAACTTTCAAGCAGTTGCAGCCTCTAATTTCTCTGCAGTGTGTTCTAATTTTGAAATGTCGACAGTTCCAATTTCCTTAACACACTGCTGAAAATCTCCGAAATCCGACACAGACAAAATTTGGCTTAATCATGGCGTATGATTCGCCCGAATTTGATTCATTTCTAACTAATTTCATCATCTGCGTTAAATTATAGCTGCAAGGAAGACAATAAGTCCCCTTGCAATACACTACAATGTGGACAAGAATAATCATTAATCAGGACTCAGAAGCATGTTCCGAATCCGCTATAAAAAATTACTTTGATAGACGAAGGAAAAAAACTGTTTCTTCCATCGAACAAACAGTCCGGAAGCATTAAAAAAACCGAGTTCATCTTTAGGGTTTGCTGGAACATGTGCAGTTGTTGGTTTGTTTGCTTGCTTGGGCTCTCCCGTCCTAAAACACTGAACTGCCATCTTTCATTTCAAAATATGTAACAGAGTTCACCGGGAAATCTTTATGGAGAGCTGGAGGTTAGTTGCACAATTTACTTGTATAGACTACATTGTTTGTTCATAAAGATCTAAAGACCAGATTATTAGTGCAGAAAAAACCAAAGGGGGCACAGTAACTGCTGGAAAAGCGTGGTAGAGATTGTTGCCGTTTATTCGAATTTACAATAACAGCTGGAAAATCCGCAGGCATATACCTGATGATGTATTAATTAAAAATGCCCAATACGATTATAATTATAAATTTTTCGCTATTCACAGCCATTTTGGGCAACGATGTAATGGAAAAAAGAGAAAACTTAGTACCCTTTTTTAAAGACAGAAACATATTACCGAATAACCCTGTAAGGAATATTAATTGTACTGATAAATTGAATTTGCATTTAATTTTCTAACATAATAGTGTCAAGGCGGTAAAAATTTTCAGAAAAGAAGCGATGACACTTGTTTCAAGCTTTTACGGATTAGAACCGCCAATTGATTTATGTCTTAGTAAGTTAGAGTTTATAGGGATATTCTTTATCATTTATAATCAAAAATTAAAGCCATTTAATTTAACCCAGTTGCGTGCGACACTGATCAAAATTTTGCATCACGATTCAATAAAAATCACAAATGAAAAGAAATAATAGAATTTGCATTTGTCGTATTATTGGTATTGCATAAAAATAATTATAAAATATTTTTGATTTCCTAAACGCAATTCCAAAACCTATATTTTGCCGAAACTAAAAACATAAAAAAAGTCATCAGCACTTTGAGTAATACAAATCCCGCTGGTATAAAAAACAGCATTGCATCTGGCATGAATTTTTAACACAAAATTAACATGAATAATGGAAATTTTTACGCGTGTTCAAAATATGGATATACGATTTACTTATAAATTATGAATACAAATATAATTTCAGACAGTTGTCAGAGGCATTTTTTTAAAGTTATGATTATGATAAGTTATTTTGCCAGAATGCATTTTCATCAATTCTAGTTTTAAAAAAAATTTGATTTTTAAAATAACACACTTGTAAAAAAATAAGATACTTAGAAAAATTGCTAATGAACATAACGTAACTAATGCATTTCCGCTAACTTTGACCTTTTGATATTAAAATGTTAGGGATAAAAAATTGTTTTGTTTAAATGTGTTGTATAGCATTGAGTACATTTGGTTTTATCTCTTCGTCCTTTTGTGTGCTTTTGCTTTCTCGTGCATTTGCTGGATAATTACGTCCAAATCCACTGCTGCCTTTATTCCCCATATACATCGTACGTGTAGCTACCTATGATTTGAAATTTGGTGTCATATTTACGCAGTAGCTCACTTAGTTTGTTTTAGTCACTGCTTTATGGAAATTACTATCATTTCTTAATGGCACAATCTTTTGCTGCTGTCCGGAAATCGGCTTTTTCCCTCCGATATTAGGTTTTGTTGGCAGTTGTGTACAAAGTTCTCAACATTTTAGCTTTCCGTTCTTTGTGTCCAATGCGTGATTGTGGCATCACCAACTATAGCGTTCTTCTATTTGTTTCAGCAACAAACAATTAAATCTTCCATGTGTGTTACCTTGAGCAATGGGGAATTGTTTTACTTCCCAAGACCTCAAGGAGAATATGCCTTGCCATGTCGATAATGGATTGATGCCCATGGGTACAAACTCTCAAAGCGGGGGACAACCCATGGGGCAGGCAGTGTACAGCCGCCACTATGGCGCAGGTGGTGACACAGTTTCTGTGGGACCGAATCAGTCTGCTTTAGTGTCTGCGTCCCGTGGTTCTCATCAGCCTACGCAGCAGTATCCCATGAATATTTATCCGATGCAATCAGGCCCCCAGCAGCCCTCCTCATACGGGTACAACCCGACCCAGGTCCCTGGAAGTGGCGAACAAGCCCTTTCCGAGCGGTCACCGCGCGTCGTTAGAGTCCACGCGCTCTATACATACGTTGCTCAGAATGCTGACGATCTCAGTTTTCAGAAGGGTGACGTCATGCTGGTACAAGCAGGTCTGTCGGAGGCCTGGTGGATGGCTCGTCACCTCCGCACGGGCCAACATGGCTACATCCCGAGCAACTACGTTAGCGTCGAAAATGGACTATTAACTCAAATGGATGCTTGGTATGATATCACTCGAAAAGACGCTGACAGGATGTTGTTAATGCCTGGACTGCCTCAGGGAACGTATATTATACGTCCTAGCTCCGGTAGGCCCACAATTTCTTGTTTAATTTGGTTTCCTGACTCTATTCTTTGCTTTTGTATTTGTCCCTTGTGATTATTGGTTTGTTAGAAGTCCCCGAGGCACGATTAGTTTATTTGTCTCGGTACCGACCTCTCTAGGTATTGTAGCGTTTTCCATGTAAACTTCACGTTCACTCCTTCAGCGTTTCCAATGAATTTGGCTTTAGTGTTGCCTACTTCCATTTCATTGAATCACTATTAGTTATTACAAAATTCAAATGTCCTATTCATTTCTGCTTTCATTCAGGCTTAGAATGCTGTGAGCTTTATCGCTTGCTAATGCGCTTACCGTTTTTGAGTGTTTTACGAGGCGTTGCGTTCTAACTTTGAGAGCTAATGACCTGTACATCAAATTTCATTTAAAACTATAGTCTCCTGTAGTTCTGATAGTCCCAAAACATCATTTGACGGACAAAGCACCCGTTTGTGCAATTTAACCTTCCTTTAATCAAATCATAGATTCCCGGAGCTATGCTCTCTCGATAAGATTTCAAACCGAAAAGAACATGTACGCCATTAAACACTACAAGATACGAACCCGTGATAACGGAGCCGGCTTCTACATTACCAATCGTACAAACTTTGCAACTGTTGCCGATCTCATTTCTCATTATCAATGTAAGTTCAGCACTTATTTTCCATTGCAAATAGCTACGTTTTTCCACGAACTTGTGTACTCTTTAAATGTTAGACCAACCATCCAAATTCCCTCCTAGTTACCTCTTCGCGTTACCATGCTTGTCTGTTGGGCAAACTTATGTTTGGGTGATGTCAGTTCCTTTTGTTATACGAACGACTTGTCCAAGGTTCTGCCTATCATACTGTTTGCTTTACCTATGTTCGATTTAACGATGTATCGCAGCCTATGGACGTTTTCTGCTGTCCTTTGTGCATGTCACAAGCCCAGAATAAGACAGTCCCTAGGGTCTTGTCACTAATCCTTTATTCATGTAATTCCACGTGCTTTTGGTTTTAGCGGTGCATGGTAAGTGGGGCTTATCAAGTTGTGTTCTGTTGACATCTTTCATTGTATGGTCAAACACATTTTTGATCCTTTTCGTCAAAGCGTTGGGAAATTTTGTTATTTAGCCTTAGGCTTCCTGTGTCACTAAACATCACCACCGACGGTTAGGTGTAGCGCCATACTACCATTCACTCCGAATCATCGTCGTCGCAACCTCAAATGATTGTTGCATTCGTGGGCATTAACGTACCCGCCTGTTTAAGTGCACGTGCTTTTATAGTCACATCCTCGTTTTTCGTACTACCCGTAAGGCGATCCGAAGAATTGAGTGAATCCTGATCCGTCTCCACTTTATCTCATTTGTCAGGAGTATGTGTGTGTGTGTGTGCGCGCGCATAGTTTACACTTTAAGCCATATCCTGGCCTCCGAGTCTCATCTTTGTCGCGCCCAATGTAAATAATACTTTCCTACAACTAGCTGTGATTTGTGTCGGTTTACCAAGATGAAAACCGCCCACTTTCTCGAGTCAACACTTGACGTCATGTTTGGTGATCTTGCTGTGATGACGTTTTTACAGCTGGTCAATTTTGACGAATTTCCTGTAACTTATTAACGTAAGTCTGATGCAAGTATTTGGGACTTTGTCTACAACAGTGTGGTGTGGCGCGGTCGATCGAGAAACGACGCCTTTTTGTAGATCAGTTGTAGCCTCTTCGTGTCGAGTACTTTCTCTGGTGTCAGCAGTTTGGTTTATCGCATGGGCTTCATTACACTTGGCGCCCCTACAAGGAATTCCTGCTAGAATATGATTCACCAATGCGATACAGCTCTTACACATGTCAGGAATCTCTTTAGTTTACTTACAGACTAAATCTTATCGTAGATTCTATCTTTTACTGGGTTGGTACTGCCGTCCTCAATTTCTGCCGCCTACTGTCCACGCGCTTACTGATCTCCCGTCGATTTTTCATTTCTTGAAAGGCCCCAAGTTTATCATCCAAAATGTGTTTCGATTTCATTCACTTAGCATCGAATGGTAGTGATGTAATGATCAATTTTATTGTAGCAGGGTTGATCACATCATGTTTGCCAATTGCGGGGTGTTTTCTTGCTTAAATTTTGCACTAGCCATAATTCGCCTCGATTGTTTGTCTCCGTTTAGCTATTAATGACGGTCTGTGTTGCGCGTTGACTCAGCCCTGCCCACGCAAGTACAAGCCTCCAGTGCAATTCCGCGACATTGAAGCCAATCGAAAGAGCCTCGAGTTCATCTGTGAGTTGGGCAAGGGCAGCTTCGGTGAGGTCTACCGCGCGCGTTGGAACAAGACCTTCGACGTAGCCGTGAAGCAACGTCTGGCCACGACGGATCGAGCGCTCTTCATTGAGGAGGCCAAGGTGATGCACAAGCTGCACCACCGCCGCATCGTACGCCTCCTCGGCGTCTGCACGGAGCCCCCGGAAGAACCCGTCTTCATCATCACCGAACTCCTCGAGAAGGGTGCCCTCCGTAACTTCCTTGATAGCGCTGAGGGACGCCAACTTGTCCTCAGCGATCTCATCGACATGATTGCTCAGGTAAGCCAAAAGACATCCTGTGTGTTGCCAGTGGCTGCCTTCGGGCCCGTGCGTCGAGCGGTTAAACTTTCTCACACTGAGGCCAGGCTGCGTTCCTTATTGTACTTCAATTTCTCCGCGTGTCACGTGAGTCGCGTTTTGGCCAAGTCTTGAGTGAGTTGTGTGTGGCTTACTGAACGTCATCTAGTTCAAATGACAATTTCGAATACCTTAATCACTTGTGTCTAGCGTGCTGCTCCTTGTATGTTGTCGACACGCCAGCATGTTCGTAATTGCTGACTTTTACTTCCCGGGTGCAGCTGTCTCCGCGGGGTGGTTTACCACCGGTAGTCAGTTTATGTTCTCGGGTATTTGTCGTGCCTCCACTGCTCCTGGATCATCCACTTCGGCTTTGAACTCTTGCATTGTCTGGTTGTGGTCTCCGTGAGAATCAACTGCTCCTTTATAAAGTCGTCATTCGCGTTTGTAAAAAAGAATGCATTTAGCGTCTGGTTGTTATAAAGATAGGTAGGCATAGTTCTGATATCACTCTCAAGATCATGCCAGGTTGACAGAATGTCGACCCAGCAAAGTTTCTGTTGGGTAAAGCAGAAGAGGCTTGTTTAGTGCGCCCAAACATTATTTACTAACCACCCTGCGTAAAAGCGAATGGCGAGGGAACTGAATGCCGGGTTTGCATCACATCAAAAGCGTATGGGTTATTCCTGTGTGAGAAGTGCATCATTGTTTTTCGGTGGCGTCTGTGTAAGGCAGATCGGGAAGCTTCGATGGCACGCCGTGCCAAGACAGCGTAGATGTAGGTTGTGCACACTGGTGGAATGTGGTATAGTTGACGACAGACCTGAGCCTTTGCTATCTTACCATCAGGAGACGCCGAATATCACGGTAAATCGTGATGAATTCCCGCGAGCAAGGTTATCGTCTTCAGTTGTACATTCAGGTGTTTGTCGAGCTTCGTGTAAAATGCTCAAAGAAGTGCACAATGGAAACGTGGTTCGCGTTAAAACCTCCTGGAACGTGAAGGAATAAGAGTATAGAATAAGAAGACCAACCTCTGCTTCATATGTGTTTTGATGACAAGTCAAGAATGCCACTTCCGTGGGCCCCAAATTCATCGAATACTTTGGAAGTGTGGCTACAGGTGTTGGGTAAACAGTGCAGACTGCTGAACCTAGCTCTTAAAGTTGCTGTGTCCGCAGTGACGAGATGGATATCGTGAACCTTTATCTTGCAGTGTTTTCCATGTCGTCCAAATCACTGTTAGCCGTGGAAACTGTCATGATATGCGAGGCCTACATCGTCATGCACCCAAGCAGAAATGTCAGACAGAGGAGGGGTACCAGTCGTCTTTGGGGCATTTGTTTTTTCACTACCATGTCGAACAATTTTCAGACCAGTGGTCAGCTGGCCCCACCAGCCTGTCCGGAGCAGGTGCCTCTAAATGCTAAATGTTTCTTTGCCCTGCGTATTGAATGCACCCGCCGCGCTTTACACCACTTTCCACTTCACGGATTTTCCACAGTGCCATTGTTATGTCAACGTCGTGTGGTAAACATGGAGCAATACTTCGCACCCACATCGCGCGCTATCACACTGCTTTTCGTGCCTTTCCAGATTGCAGAGGGTATGGCGTATTTGGAGGAGATGAATTTCGTTCACCGCGACCTTCGCGCAGCCAACATCCTCGTCGATCGCGACAACTCCGTCAAGGTCGCCGACTTCGGTCTCGCGAAGATGCTCGATTCCAACACTCCCGTCGGTGGTGGTACGTGTATTGTCATGTTGACGTGCAAACCAGACATTATTGTGTGTGTGCACCGTTCACTTTATGCCGAACCTTATCATGATCTCTATGCTTTTGGTCTAATTGCATAGCTTTTCCCGTGTAATAGCGGAGTCAAGTCATGTGGGTTCGCGTAATTGACTAATATTTCGTCAATTTGGTGGTTTTGGTAATCTTGCTGGTTCTGCGTCCAATCCTATTGCAATGCACATGCTTGCGCGGTCAAATCTTGCTCAGAGGTCACCTGTCCCGCGTTATGTGTTCGTCTGCCAAGTGTGCCATTCCATGGCTTCTGTGGAACGCCACAGTACGTTGTTTCCGGCCGCACCCGGGAAGACCAAAGCGACAAGTTGCCTTTTGCCCAAGACAGTTTGTGTGAACTTGTAGAAGTGCAAATGACTGATCGTCCAGATGTGCGATACGAGGAGCGGCGGGAGGTACACGTGCGGGGGTGTGTGAGCATACGAGCACGGTGTGAAAAGGGGGAGGGGCCGGTGTGTCATAGCATGCGGCGACCCAGTGCACGGGCTTGAATCAACACGATTCACAACACCTGCGTGTTTAACATAATAATTAGGATCTAGTCGTTGTTTAGAGCGTTTGAAAGATACTGGGACTTACATATTCGTTGAGTTTACATTTCAATGAAAATTCTGCCGCTAAGGAAGCGCCTCATGTTTGATACGAACGAGGTAATGCGTGCTTGCACAATCCACAGGTTCACGTTAGTGTCACATTACGTCATCAGTAGTCGAATTTGTACATTGGTACATGGGTTTTTTTATGGGGAACAAAAATAGTACACAGACTTCTCGCCATGAACACACGTACGTACATTCACACTTTTTTATCTGCAAGAGCGCCACATGTTTTGACGAGGCAACCAGTTAGGCGTGATGTGAATGGTTCAAGACCCTTGCTTGCTTTCCCCCATGTTGTCCACACTTGCTTTGCGTCTTAAACCCCAATTCCTGCGCTTCCTTAACACCTCGAAGCGATTGTTGCTTGTGGTGGTTTGATCGCGTCGTACTGCGATCCGAGGGATCAAGTTAGATTTGCCTTTTTTTAATATTCTTGCGTTTTCATATAGTCAATCATTGACTAAGTGCAGCCTCGTCCTACAACTGGCTCAACAATTGCTAAAAACGATCTTCATTTTGACAAAGTGGACGCAAATTTCCGACTGCCGTGTCCTAAGTCAGCCCTGTTTTATCGTCACTTTGTACGTTCCCGAAATACCCCGGGTCATTAATTAGTGTCTCGTCAACAAATTCGTTTCGCGTCAAGCGGCGTCTTGCGTGTCAAATTCTGCACAACTGCACCAACACAACTAGTGAAGCCTTCGTCGTGTCAAGGGAGGGGACGTTGTCTCAAGCCCAAATGTCAAGCTGAGAGGGTAGCATTTTAATTGCCGGCCCGTCTGCCCAAATGTGTTCCTTTCACTCAGCCTTGAATGACGTCGTAGCCCAAGCCTTTCATTTGCATATTTCGGTTTGCTTTGTGCGTGTGCGTGTGTGTGTGTTCGATTGCGCAAGTTGGCCTAGGAATGGCCTAGAATCTCACCACATGGCCGCCAAATCGCTAAGCCTGCGATTTTTGCCCGCTTGTGGCGTGTAAGTCTTGAAACGTCGAAGCAACCACCGTGACGTGTTTGATCTCTTTGGTTGTCTTTGGCGTAGGTTTATTGCTTTGGAGCTACAATTCTCGATGTGCCATCTCATCACGTAGACTTGAGCCGCACTCGTGGACTCCATCGTTTTCCACTGACAACAACCAACTAATCGGCTTTTATCAACGCACCATTTGTCGAATAAAGTCGTTGCGGTTAAGCTGAAAACTGTCGCGTTGCGCGTGCGCGTCTCGCATGTATGTGTGGGTGTGGGTGTGTGTTTGAACAAGAATTCACCATTTGTCGTGTGTTTATGCTACTGGTACACATTAAAGCCAGCATGGGCAATCAATGCAAAGCTCGCATCGCGGTCTAAAAGCTGTCCACTCGTGGCCTGTGCAGTTTCACTCGAAACCACCGGTCAGCAGACTCCTAGCCACCCCGATCTCAAGCAATTTCGTCGTCGCCTCACAAACGCAGTTGCGGGTGCTTTTGCGGCTGGGAGGGGCACATTGTGCGTGACTCACCACCAGCGTCGACGTTGCGTCGTGCCGCGCCCCTCCTCTCGTTCTGGTTGCGCGCCGCTGCACGCCCGAAGGAAAACAAACGCTTCGGTGACACAACGCACCTCCTGCGAGTGAAGTTTTGTTGCGGACGCTCGGATCGCACACATGTGTCACGTCTAGTCACTCCGCCGTGCGCTTGTCTGGCGCGTTGCGGAGGCGTAATCGTCTCCGGTCGCCTCGCTTAGAGCGTAAACATCACCAAATCCCGGACGCAGCTTTATCTGCATGAATTTCGTGCCTGTGCAAGTTGGTCGCGGCTTAGCTTCGTGTGCGCGTGTGTGTGTGTGGAGGGCGCGAGAGATGTGAAACTTGAGCGAGATGAAACGTTGGTGTGCGCGCGCGTTTGGGTGTTAGTCATGGCCTGTGCCGCGGACGTCCGCTAACCCCGCCGCCATCACCACCACGCTCGAAAATGCAACCCGTGGACGCCTGCGTTCCGCGCAGCCCTCCACAACTTGCGCCACGACAAAATCCAGGCGAAGCCACTGCCCGAGGGAGTCTGATCTCCCCCCGAAAAATCTAAAAATCAATGTTGTAGGGAAATCGAAAAAAAAGGTTTCAGGTTTTGTTGTGCAAGGGCAATTTATTCTTACGGGCTGTTGATACTCTTGGCTACGTGTTTCAGTATATGTTAAGGCTGGAAAGATGTGACATTTTGACTAATAACCAGATTTGTTGCGTCATCACCACGCACACAGCCACCGCTGCTGCTGTAACCGTGGCTTACGGTAATTAATGACTCTTAGCCGCTGAACTTTTGGGTGGCCCGAGTATGCACACCTTGGGTTGTTTGTGCTATTTTGTGCGTTTTGGAGTCATGCAAGGCACAGCGCTTTCATTTCGGGGGTTAGTTGTGCGCTAATTATGCCCCTATTTTGGGACTCCTGCCTTGTTCCGACCTCATTTCCCTGGACAATTCCTCGTCAGAATCTACATCATAACATGGTCTTTGATCAGATCAAATTTGATAGGCAGATGTAGGCAAAAACGATTAGAAAATCTCAAATAAATCTGACTAACGATGGGAAGTCAAATTATTCTTCACTTACTCCCTACTTGGTCGGTCTCCACTCTCTGTAAATCGCACGTTACGCAAGGTCCTTAAAAGCCATTCTTCTTTTTTGCAGTCATCAAATTTCCAATCAAGTGGACCGCCCCAGAGGCTGCTCTTCCCGATCACCTTTTCAGCATCAAATCGGACGTCTGGTCTTTCGGTGTGCTGATGTACGAAATTGTAACCTACGGCGGCACCCCATACCCCAGTGAGTCATTTTTTTTATTACAGTGCTTATGTTAGGGTTACACCAATAAGAGCGCGACCTTGAGGCAGCCAATAAAAATGGAACTCTTCTTTGAGTTGTCCGTTCTTGGCGGCTTGTTTCAATAACATCACCCTTGAGGAAGCGTTTCGCCAAGGGGCATTAACTTGATCGATTTTTAGGGTTCACGAACCGCGAGACCGTGCAGCAGGTTGAGCGTGGCTACCGAATGCCCAATCCGAGCACACCGACCCAACCCTGTCCCGATGACCTCTACGTAATCATGCTGCAGTGCTGGTCAGCGCGTCCCGAGGATAGGCCCACCTTCCGCAATCTCTACGATATCTTTGAGAACTGGGCAGTGAACACTGAGGGACAGTATGTCGATGGCCAGAACAACAACTGATTCGTCCCCTCCCTCAACCCCTATCGCCCTGCTCCGCGTGATTGTCATCCTCCTGCTGCATTTGATTTGACCCCGTCCCTAAAATCCGCTCTCCTATCCATTTAACTCTGGCTTTATTCTCAAGTTTTTTTGCTAAGATTAACTATAACAGTGCGTTTATGCACACACAACAGTGAAAATTAATCTCTGCTTTCTCTGACGCTTCATTTTGTACTGCGTGTGTCAGGGGCTTTCCTTATTTGTGGAAGTAACGCAAATCATGTAACTTTCGAGGTATCCTTTTTAATACTTTGATTTCATCATGGCTGGTATAAATGCCGTTTATTTACGGAGGAATGCGTAGCTGAAACTAATTTATGTTAGATTTTCTAAAGAGAGGGTCAGTCAAATTGAGACTTGTACTCTAGGGGTGGTCACAAATCATCTAGCATTATCCTGGTGACTGATTTGGTGCCGTTTAATGACGCTTGGAGTTCAGTACCAATTTAGCCTCAAAAGACAATAAACGACTCACCTGCCTTCGTTGTGGCGCCTCGATCAATAGCCTCATTGATCGAATCAGCTGGCACGTGGGCCAATGATCTTGGGAATGCGATTTTAAACGCATCGCCATGAGTACAAATCGAGCTAACGGGTTGCCAGTACCTGGTGTCAAAACCAGCCTACGTATCTCGAAATCTTTGAAACACGAACCTGCAGGTTCCAACGCATCTTCATTCGCATCAAGCTTACGAAACAGTACACTCAGAGACTCCACAAAGAAAAGAGCTTGGAATTCCAGTAATCGTATATCTTACCGTGATAGTGTCGCTCCGTTGACATCAAAATCAAAACCAGTGCCAAAGTCAGTTCCTGACTCAAGCCGACGCCTTCCAAGGGCACCTGCCAAACCAAGTTCCATCTCGACTTCACGTTATAACGTGGGATTATCTGCTCAGGCAATCCCAGCAACCAGAGTCACGGTGAGGACAATGCATACTCTGAAGGACCTCGTGGATAATTTTGTTCAGAACCTTATCCAAGGCACTGATCAATTTGATGTTCAGAGGTTACAGCAGCTTCACGGGTTGTTCGCAACAATCACAAAAGATCAGATGAAGAGCTTTAAGCTTTCGGCGCTTCAACAGAGACAGAACGAGGCAAAGCGAAATCACCCAACAAAATCGCCCAATGACACCCTCTACCAGAGTTTACTGTGGTGTCTTATCTTTCAAGCCAGTATAGACATGTTATCGAATTCTTCATCAATTTGTAGCTCTTCGAACCTATTAGAACGTGCTTGGGAGTATGTTGAGAATTTGAGGAAGCTATTCCATCCATTCATTAAACACAATGCCGGTGGTGCTGATTATGGCAAGAAAAGCAGGATTGCTAATGTGAATTTAAATCAATCCAATTCGACAGGAGGTGAGCGTTCAGGAGATCGAGTCCACCGCCAACCTCATATTCCCGAGCCTGTGTCTAGCGACGAGAGTTTGGTAATCACATCTCCCATAATTCCTGCCAATAGAAAATCACGTTCATTCGGACAAAATCGACACGGCGTCCACGAAATCGGTGACACTTCGCCTCCACGCAACACCAAATCGTCGAAACTGCCAAGCACTCCATACGTCCAAATGAGTCACAGTGGAAGTGTCAGCTCACGAGACGCTTGGGTCAGTACTGATAGCCCATTGCAAATTCCCTCTGAGCGATGTTTTATCGAATCAAACAGGGTCTCGGTTGAAGTTCAAACTCTTCCAGAAATGGTTGACAGGTCAACTCAGTTCTCACCTTCTCCAAGTGAAGAGACCCCATCAAGAATACCGCAACAGCCTCAACTACTGGATATTTTAAATCAATATAAAACTGCCAAGCGACAACTGGCAACTGAAGCAACCAAGTATCTTGCGATGTTTAAGCAATGTCACAACTTACAGAACAAATTGAGGTTGTTTCAAAAGAGTGTGAGTCAACAGGCACCAGATTATCAGCAATCAACTCCTGTTTATACAAAAAAATGCGCCAAACGGTTAGTTGCGGAGAAGGACTGCGCTCACCACCGCATGCAGAAGCATTCACCTGTGGAACGATATCTTCTCACAGCTGCGGAGAATGTCGGACCGTTCCCTCCTGTAACCCAGTGTCTTCCCAAGGTCGTTTACGAGTCATCCAGCTTGCAAGCGGCAAAAGTGCACTCGGAGGTGGTGTGTATGACCACCATAGAGATGCCCCTTCTGTCTCTCGTTGACCTCCAGTGCTTTGTTGATCAGGCCGGAGAGACGTACACTAAAAAACTGACAACCAAAGATAGGATTGTCAGGGCGTTTCCCTACAAATGTCGAGGCCTACTTAAAACGAAGTGAGATATGCTTTGAGAATCTTCAACTTACATTTTGTACACTAAACTGACTTGTGTAAAGACACTGAGCTGATGGAATTTCTTATTGTTTTCTTGGAAACGTCGCCGATCCAAACCCGTAAATTGGATTATGGAAGCCACATCTGTTGTATTGTCGCTAAATGCTTTGGAGAAAAAATTCAGATTGGACGTATCTGAAATTTCTATTGGAAAGTTTATTGATTCAACCAAAATTTGGAACCGCCGTACCCCACCACCACCTCTCTTGTCAGGCAATGACTGCCTTCGGTCGACCTGGAGTGTAGGAATAAAATGCACACAGAAACCCGTCGAACCTATCAATGTGTTCATGCTTTTCGAATGGCCCTAACCCATTGTAATTCCTCTGTTTATTAAAAAAACTTTACTTGTGGTGGGATGCGAAAGCCGTCCCGAACGTTGTCCCTTTTTGGTGACATTTTGGAAGGTAAGAAAAAGGGAACCGAATCCTTCGTTCGTGGTTTGAATGTTTATTCGGTTAAGGTCTCGACCAAATTTTTGACCGTATCTTACCAAACCACACGAGTAAAATGTAATTTGGCTACTCGAATCACAGAAATCAAATTACTACTCTGGATATTTTGGTCATTTTCAAGTAATGCAATTCGTTTGCACTGTTTATCCGTCGAATCATCATGCCATGATAAACAGTTGACTTATAAATCGTTGTTTAAATGAAGCGAAATGGGAGCGCAGACGTGAGTCACGCTAGACAAGGCTTGCACTCACAGTGCGTCTGCAGTAACAAATCAATAAAGAGATGCAGTTGGTGGTTATTGAATTTGTCTCGGGCTGATGCTTACTGGATTAGTAATTTAGGACATCAATCACATCAAAAGCAAATTTATGAACAACGCATTTTTAATATGTGCATGCTTAATCTTACCTCACGGCTTCCTAACTTCGTGAGTACGAAACCAATCACTCTTTTGGTATAAAGCTTTTTTACTTAAATTTATGAAAATTCGGCTTAATCGAAGACCCGGGATTTCATCGCGTTTTGCCACAAAACAGTCTAGCTTTACTCGAACCAAATTGTGTCAATTAGCGAATGACTAAACGTGTGTGCAAAAAACAATTATCATGGCGAAACATGTTATGAATCACCAATCAGGAAAACGTTTGTCCGGTGTCATCATCGTAATTAATGATAGCACATGTACAAATCATCGACATGTTTCCCCACTGCAACATTAAGACAAGGCCTGCAGAATCGTAGTAAACAACTGACAAGATCTATTGGGGTAAGATTTATGCATTCTAAAAAACGAGGACAAATAGCTTGTTCGTTTTTCAACTACAAATTGGCGCGTAGATTTAAAACGAAAGGTTTGTTACATTCAATAGGTTGGCCGATTTCGGATTCGATTCAAATTGCTTTGGTGGAAAATCGTTTCACTTTTGTGGTGCAAGAAGAAATTCATTTTTATGTGCCGAAAATGTACTGTAGGGACTTAAATATTTTCAACTTTTGACGTGAACTTTTGCTGTCTTTCTGGCTACGTTATGATTCCGCGCTCAGAATTTCGGGTCACAGTCAGCAAGAACGTAACTAGGTACGATTTCTGAATGTTGTTATTACTGGAAGTTACAAAATTTAACGAGTTTTGCAAACTTGAAAATGAAAATGATCCTTCGATTGTGCACGCACGACTAAACATGCCCAAGTTGCCGTCGATTTGTCGATTCCGAGCCCAAATTTCTCAAAATTCATTGCACATACTTCATCACACCAAGCTGACAACTTACTCTGTTTAATTCAATTCAGTAACGGTCGAAGTGGTTTGCGTCAGCAGGAACCTGGACGTTGTCTTAAGTTTGATTCAATCTGTTTAAGCTGCAACCCTCAAATGTTGACTATTTAGGCTAAGAGAATTTCTTTTGAATCAAACGGAATGCACATATGTTCTATTTCTCAACGAATAAAGATGTTTTAAGCGGTTTACAATTGTTGGGTGTGTGTGCGTGTGCTATTTATAGCTCCCCTGCAACCTCTGGCACAGCTAATTGAACAAGATATGACTCAGTTGTGGCGCTGTGACTCCTGTTGATTCACGTCCACCATCGCTTACCACATAACCCGATATTCCCCCCTTTTCACAACGTGCTCGACCACATGCGGAACCGTCTGCTCACGCAACCCTTTGCCGGTACCGCCACTACGCTCGTTCAGTTGTACCTTAGTTTGGGTACTTAATTCGCCAGAACATCTGGTTTGAACCAATTCTGACAAGAGCGTTTTGTTTTACAATTACCCTCGCCGGCTTCACACACCTCGTTTTGAGTCCTACTAAAAGTAATGCGTCTTATAAAATTAAAAGGTGGATGTCTCAAAACCGTTCGCTGTTAAAACTGCCATTTGAGTAATTAAAAAGAAACGAAGGCATTTAATTAGAATGAATCTACACTGTTTAGGCACCGATGGTACGGCTGGTTCAATTTCAACAAGGTGCAATTTCAATGTTGAATCAGAGCAATAACTGGATCACTTAACATTTGTGCCTTGGCAGGTGTGGTTCAGGTTTTGTCTAATATTTCATGCAAAGACGCATGATATGCTGACTGCTTAAAAGTGCTTTTTCTCCAAGTTGACGCTGATCAAGATTTTGGTAATAGGACGTTAGTATTACCGTCGCAAACCAGGTTTACCCCGAGATCACTAAATTTGAAATATACTTAAATTCCAGTACAAAGTTCTTTCACACACTTATTTCATAGAAAATAACCTTTAGATACAAAGTTCTTTCCAGCCTTGTGGTTAATGTTCTCCCATTTAGATATGCAAATATTGAACTAAATAGTAGCAGCATCATCCCGTTTACCATCATGATTGGTTGTTACAATGTCAAAAGGCCAAAAAAATTGATTCTAACTTCAATTTTTAGCCACAATTTTGCCGGCCTGTCTGGCTTTGGAAAAATAAATAATACGGTCCAATGTTTGCATTTTTCTGTGTGAGATGACGCAATGTAAACGTGATGTCATCGGTGGTTGTATCGTATACAACACGTCACGTTTCAGATTCCATTCAAATCCAACTGTCAATGTCGTAATGCAACTCCAAATGCACATATCCGTTCTTCAGAGCATGGTAATACAAGAACTTCAGAAATAATTAGTTATTTTGCAAATGACAGCCTTCATGAGAGGAAAATTACTTTGCCGCACAACAGTGAAAATTTGGAATGCGACGGCACTCAGGCTTAGCAGCATTTAAATTGCAATTTTTGTAGATGACACACTTGTGGAAACACGTTCATGTTTCTTAAGAACAATAACATATCAATCCAGTTACCTGGTTTATACTTTTTAACACTGTAACTGAAATTATCCCACTGTAAATAAAGCAAAAATTTGATGAATGCCAGGCAAGCCGAAAGTGATGTACCGAAATGTTTCTATCAACATTAATTATTCGGTATCTGCGATTTTCTATCCACCTTACAAATTTGAATTTTATGATAGAGGTATTTCCCAAACATCCTCCAAATGTCTACCCTTCAAAACACCACCACTTTGGACGAAAACGATTTCGGGTTAAATTTACTTTGATATAAAAACAGTAAGCAATAGCTTTTGCGTTAAAACAAATTATATGAGCGCGGAAAGTCACCTCCCTAAAATTCACACGTTAAACCTAATATTGTTGGTTTTGCTGGTAAATTGCTCATATTAGCCACTAAAAGTTAGTGTCACTGTCTGCTACACATACAATTAAGCAACTAGAATACAATTAACTAGCGACCTGGATTGTCTTTGTTGTTCCTCAATTCTGGTGAGTCTGTCTGATTCTGGGTAAAATTCCAGCATATATTAGTGAAACTGATTTCTGATTCGTAATAATTACGGAGAAGAGCGTAAACATCGTGTTCAAAACTAATACCCTTTAGAAATAGTAAAAGTGCGACTTAATCATTGTGACACAGTTATCAAAGCGAAAAGCAGTGACTTAATTCGACTTCGAATTGATGTATCAATGTGAGTGGCTGTCTTCGTTTCGATACAAGCAATGCTAACATACCTTGTGTGCATCTTGTCGGATTTATTAGCATATAAAGTTGCCAGTTTATATTGAGCTATGTTGAATTAATATATTGACTTGAATCTTTTTACACACCCGAGATCAAGTTAGGAATGAGAAGTGAGCCTGGCAACGAAGTAGAACATGTTGTTCTAGAAAAAGTCGCGTATTTTATACTAAACTTTTCGACTTTTGGAATACAGAAGATAACCTACCATAACCGAGAATTCATTCTCCTGCTACATTTTAATGTTAAGATACACAGAAATTGACCAACTTTAAGACTCACACAATTATTTAATAGAAAATAACCTTTAGATACATGTAATGAAATTACACGTTCAATCAAATCATGAATAAATCAACGAGACCACACCACCCAGATAGTCATTAAAGCCTAACTGCGCAACACTGTGCCAAACGAATATTTATTTCGTTTGGTCAAGAGTTCATTTATCCAAATTGTACAAAGGATCATATTTCTTCAGTAATTTTAGCAAAACAAAAAAATTAAAGCACATAATAAAGCTTTTGAAAAAATCAAATAGAATTTGAACTATCAACATTACCAAAACGGAGTACAAGAATTCATTGACTTGATTTTATAATTTAGGGCTTCAATGTTTAAGTTTGTTTGATCTGATCTCAGGTCGTCCATCACTAAATATCCCTTGTGAATTTGATGAGTAGCTAGGTTGTTCCTTCACAAAAATATTTATAGGGATATGAATGGTTGGCCAGTCCCTTGTTTTACAGCAGTGTACAAAATAAAGCTCAAACAACGAAAACTTTAAGACCAAGGCCAAATGGCCAACAATTATGTTGTTAGGAAAGCGTTTAAAAAACGACAGTTCACAACCATTGTAAGCCCATTATTTACATAATATGGGACATCTACTTGAAGATTTTGAAAAAAATTGGCGGAACTCATTGGTCACTGACCAGAGTTTATAAATATATGCAGAAAATGAAATTAAAAGAAATAATTATACTCAGGGTAAATAAATCCTTCACGCGAAGAAAATGACTTTCATAAATTGCAATTAATGAAATCAACTGTCTTTTTAAGAAAATGACAGTATAATCTTCTAAAAGACTTCAAACGAAACAAGGCGTTCAACCTCTTTAAAGACAAAAATACCACAGGTCTATCAAATTTTTAAAAAATAGTAGACGCATCAAATGATAGAGCAACTAATTTTGAGAAATTTACTTAAGTCCACCATTAAATGTAGATAACATTTACAATCGGTAATCAAATATTTTAAGAAAGGCAACAAAATTCTGAAGATATATATTTAGCCACAGAGATTAGCCTACAAAGTCGGAAATAAAAGATCGCTGAATAAAACGGTAAAGTATACCATTCAGAAATCACAAAAGACATCAATAAATGTGCTCGCAAATGCAAATATCATTGTCCAACCAAAAAGTTGTAGGTTAATAAGAAATTAAATAAAGCAAATTTTGTGAATATCCAAACAAAAATAAGTGAATCAGAGATATCAGAACGTCATTCCTAAAAAGAACAATAGGGATCTAATCAAAGATTAACTTAAATTCATTGGACAGCCAAAATGAAGGAGTGCCGATTTTTTCGGCATTACAAGAACAGTAATTAAAATTTTTCAAACATCAAATTACGTGATAGAATTCATGAACAAAGAAAAACCCGCAATAACTAGAAGACAAATGTTCTTTAAAGATTTAATGTTGGTAAGCATGTAGTAGTTCAGGATGCATCATTACTAACCACTTTAACAGATACTATGTACCTGAAATTATCAAAAAAATATTACCTTAAATAAATTAAAAAAACAAATGGCAAATTTATTCCAAGAAGGTGTACCATATCTTAGATGCGCGAAGGTGCTATAAGTATGCTCTTAATGCAAGCAATAAACTCATCTAAGCAAACTATCCCATGTCTTTTATACCAAGGTGCAAATATTTTGGATGAAAAATTCTGAGTTGAACTCTCGATTCCCAATAGAGGTGCACGTGTTGTTAATCAGACTTGATTGAATAGAGAGTCTAACTAGAACATCAAGGCGTGAGAATGCCAATTTAAAATAGGCTAAAAGGGAAAAATGAGATTTTGTTTATTTTACTTTCACAGTTGTCGACAAAATCAAGTTCACTTGGAAAATGGCACTTTCCTATTGTGTCCGTATATGTCAAAAAAAAAGAATTGTTAGACGCTTATTTTCCAGCATGCAAATTTTGTTATAACAAAGATTAAAACATGATATATTTATACTATTTTAACTAAATGGATATCATATTTTAGGAATCGCTCGCAAATCGTTTGCATAAATTAGCCAATTAGGTCTTGACTTATTTAGCTGACGTGTGAAATGCCTTGGGTAAACCAGGAGTATAAATATTCCTGTTTTGAAAACTTAGCTGTGAGTATTTTGAAACAAGGCAGTATTCCCAGTCATGTTGCATTCATTATGGATGGAAATCGGCGCTTTGCTGTTGCCCAAGGTCTGCAGAAAACTGAGGGACACAAATTAGGTTTCTCCAAATTGTCTCACGTAGGTTCCGTTTTTCTACCTATTGTCAAGGTGCTTCGTTGGTGCTATGATTTTGGAATAAGAGAAGTATCTGTCTATGCTTTTAGCATTGATAACTTTAAAAGGCCAGGTAACGAGGTTTCATTTTTGATGGATCTCGCTGTTGAAAAACTAAATGAACTAATTGAGAAGAAGTATGTTACGTTTTATTAATTAGTTCTTTTTATATGAATTCTAAACTTGCATGTTAATATTGTAGAGACAAATTGGATGAGCAGGGCGTTAGAGTTCGAATTCTTGGCAATCTCCATTTGCTTCCGAAAAAAGTACAGCGTGTCGCCGCTCGGTTGATGCTAATGACAAACGGAAATTCTCGGTAATATAAATTTGCTATGATTCTTTTACAGTAGAATTTTTTGAAGTGTACTCTCTTGTAGCTAATGGCCTACTCTTGTTTCCATAATGTCTTTATTAATGAATGCCCGTACTTATAAAATCCAATATAATGCACGTCCATTCAGGTTAACCTATTTCACTGCTTTCGCCACATCGTTTTGGGGGTCTAAGTGAATTAATCACTGTCTTCATTTAGGCTTGTACCATTTTTCACATTCAGGGGAGCACATTTCCATTATTACTTTCGTCATTGTAGTGCCATTCTCAACATTATGATGTCATATTCAACTCGTGATGAGCTGACTGCTACACTTGAAAATATCCGACGTGGAGTGCAAATGGGTCTTCTCGAAGAGCAGTAAGTCAACTTTTCCCACTTTCCAGTGTCTTTTTTAAATAATGATTCTAACCTTTATTGGGCCAATACTGTTCTGCCATGATTAATTTCATGAGATATTGATGGATAATCATTACAATATGCTTTAGTCGCCTTCCAAGCAAGGATTCATGCTTTTTAAGTTTTTTCTTTAGCCATCCTTTGTCATCTTAATATTTTTACAAATGGTAGCTGAATAAGATCACTTGATGCTCACAATTATTTAAATTTTATTTGTTGGGGAAATCGTGGCATCACAAGTATCAGTAATTATGGACCACAATGTTATTTTGAGCACTCTTTTTTCACTGATACTTCTGAAATTCGATCAGAGCTACCTGCATTAGACATGATAACTAACAAAGTCCTCACGTCTTAGACTATAAGATTCTCGAACATCTTTCTTCCTTACTCGATTCTCCCTTAAAAGGATCACACAGATTCCTTTAACTTCTAGTCTCGCATACGTTATTAGAATTTGCACAAGTTTGTGTCTGAGTGTCCTAAAAGAAGATTGTTCTTAGTTGTGTATCAGACAAAATCAGACTTTTCAATAACTAATTCCACTGTTGTTCGATTTTTGGCCGCTGTTGATAGCATCAACTCCCAATCTCTTAGCCACCTCCCCCAACGGTCTCTAATGCAGTCCACGTCAGTCTGTTCGATTTGGTTGCACACGTGTTCGGTCTCGTCAACTGGCGATAGACTCCGGACAGCACGAAGTAGCTTTGATGAAGTTGCTAGAGCAAAATCCGCAATTATGCTGACTCAGAAAGCTAATGTGCAAATTTGTACATTTCAGGAACCTTTTTTCCACATTAGTGTCAATTTAAAGCCACTTACGGACATAATTCTCAGCACTGGATAGAATACAAGAGTTTAGAGTCAGAATGTTCGGATTTACTTTCTCGTTCTGCCTTTCAGGGACATATCCCCCGAGGTGATCGACCGAAGCAGCCAGCTACGTGACTGCCGCCCTCTCGATCTGTTGGTACGGACGTCCGGCGAGGTGCGCCTAAGCGATTTCATGCTCTGGCAGGCCTCGCGCTCGGCTGCTCTGTTTTCCTTCTTCAAGGTCAACTGGCCTGCCTTCTCGTTCTGGCACCTGGTCGCTGCACTGCTCCAGTTCCAACTCAACCGCGCCGCCATACTCCCTCTCCCTGAGGTATTCCTTCCATTCTAATCAAAATTGCTTTGTTACTCTCATTACCGTTATTGATTAAGCATAAAGTTGCACTACTACGTCCACGAGTAACTATGCACACATCTGGTCTCATAGTTTTGTCCCCTTAATGCCGGTTTTTTAACAGTAGAAAGCTCTGTCCGAAAGTTATTCTTGAGAAAGCAGACCACAAAGCCTCATTTCAGGGATACGGGCATACCTACCACAGTTCGTGTGCACTTTGACAATTTTACATTAATCGTAATGCCTAGTCGTGAAGTAAGCTTCCTGTTTCCGTCGCGTGAACCGATGCGCGATATCTCGGTTTACGTCATTTCTTCCTTCACAATAAACACGATTCTCATTTCAATTTTCCATAGTCCCTCTTTCATAATATATTTTAAACTAAGTAAATACGTTTTTGAGCCGCCTCACCAAATTGTTCTCTGCTATTGGTGATATACAGCTTGAAACAATTAGGTTTTCCATAGACTTCGACATCTACGGGATAAAGGGTCTAGAATATGCCAACCCTTTCGGGGCCTAAATTCTCGAAGGTGTCTCGATCTTGCTTGTGCTCTGGTTTTTAGGTTTTAATGTTTCACTTAAATGGAACTAATTCCACCAGTTCGATGAATGGCCATAGCGGTGTTCACCAGCCAATTACAGTCGACATTATCGAGTCAGAAAGCCGCAAACGCCGACTAGCGAAGTTCTACGCGTGGCTTGAGAAGGAGTCCCTGGAGGATTTCTTAACAATGTCCCACCTACCGGAGACGGATGCAATTGAAGCCTAGCGATGTTGTGCTACTTTTTGGTGCTTTGGATTTTGTGATTCAATACTTGTACAAATGTAAAGAGATTGTTCAGCACAGCCCTCTTCAAGTGCTGCAAAATGTCAATTAGCGCTTGTATTGAGTTGTGGAAGATGCGGAAGCGGGATTGCAGAATTCTCTTCACGAATCTGAAATGCGTTACTTTTAAAGAATTGCAAGTGTAAGGGATGGGAATCATCGGACCATGTCGAAATGATGACCACTCCACTGCGCACTGCGAGGTACCAATTCCTCTAATGAGGGTTAATTCTAGTAATCGTAATGGATAGCCTCCAATTGTGAATTAGTATCCCAGTGCTTACTTTCCCAGTGAAATCATTCTTCATATTCTAAGTTAATGAAGTATGCTTCTCTTTACAAGTGTTTAGACACTAGTGCAAACCAGCATTCAACAGCTGGAATTGCGGGTGCCATCACGTCGTCCACTATCATCTAAATTGGACGAGATTAAAGTAAGACTTTTTAGGAATCTGCATACGATAACTCTGTATCTTGAAGAATCTTAACGTAAATGGTAGTGGGCCCCCGTGTCGTCGTCGAGAACTGTAATAATTGGCACACATTCCGGTGGCGAGACCCATCACGAAGCCAAAGGGAACTGCAATTACCATAATCGCATACCCGCCGTTCTGTGGTTGAAAATGTTAAGCCCTACGATACAAATTGCAGAGAGCAAAGCGGATAGACTACCCTACTGCATCAGAACAGAATTCCAGCATTCACATAAAGACTGCACCGTCGTTACAGACGACCTTTTGTGGTACTCCTCCTCACCCACCAATTTAACAAAAGGCGAACTTGTCTATTCAGTGCACACAAATGACTGCATTTGCGGAATCACGTTTAAAAAACATAAGAAAACTGAAAAGGGCCTAAAACACTTGACACCACTGAGTCAAACACCAGGAGAACAATCTGCAGTATTTACAGTTAACGAGACTAGATGTCAGTGTTGTGATTTGTACCTTCATATAACAACTGTGCGACCGTTATATATACAGAGTAAAGCGCGAGGAATCGGGCCATGCCACAAACACACCAGTGTCCAAGACGACCACGAATTCCGAACACAAACACGGCCAGAGGCGAATAAAACTGGAGCGAAAAAGCAACTATCGAGGCGGTCGGGCGAGTGGTGGGAGGGCAAATGGCGGCGGACGGTAGGGCGGAAACCGTGGCGGAGCGTAGTTCCTGGTGGGAGGGGGAGTGGGAGTCATGGCGTAGGGGGGAGGGGGATGTCGGTGGACCACGTGCAGTGGTGCCTGGGGCGTAGAGCCATTCAGCATTTGACCGCCACCGCTGCCACCACCTGTTGTCCATGGCGGTCGAACGCCTGCCAGAATGGGCGGGCGGGACAGGGGCCAGCGGTTCATTGACGGGGATTGAACTCCACCTATCGGGCAAACAAAAGGCATAAAGTGAGGACAAAACAAGCTGTACTGAAATGAATGACCTAAGCAGCAGCAGTTGATCCTTCTAACGTTATTGACAAAATGTCGCACGATAGCGAATTGTCAGAAATGTGGAACAGCAGAACACCAAGAACCAAGGCTACCTTCTGACTACCTCGCATAGCATCAGCATTTGAATTGACAAGATACTCTTAAAACACAACAGTGACACAGCTAATGGCGGACAAAGCGGAATTACTAGCCTCGTGCAGTTTAGATTTGGAATAAATAAGAATCGGCATTCGTGGAACGTCTAGAAGGTACGATTGAATCATAATAAAACTGCGGAAATTGAACAGCCTAGACTTTACTGGGCTGGCAGCGACTAGGCAGAATTATATTAATGACGACAGAATGGTTTTTAGGCGCGCAACGCAAAATCCAGGCATTATTAATTTCTAGTAAAATACGAGCCTGTTGAATAGGTGTCTCCGCCGAAGCGATGGTGCTGGGGACGCATGGGTGGGGGCGTTGGTAAGTGGACGCCTGGAGGAGGTGGTGGAGGATTGGTAGAGCCAGCAATCCAAGCACCTGGTTGCTGTGATGGCGGCGCCGGTGGTGGTGGCTGCTGTTGTTGCTGCTCCTGATGAAGGAAAAATCCGGGGCTAGAGTCGGTCGATGACCTGGTGTAGAGAACAGGAGGCTGTGGTCCGAATAACTGACGAACAGGTGTCCCAGACGGGTTTGGCTCCGTCGGAGGAGGCAGAAGTGGGTAGGACGCTGAGTGCGGTGCAACCGGTGTGTGCGGATATGCTGTACTGGCGAGAGCACTCTGTGGAACTAAATGATTGTTCGAAACAAGATAAGAAGACGTACACGACACAAAAAATCCACAGGATTTCGCAGGCTGCAGTGGCGACAAACAACAGGGTTGTTATTTGGCAGCTACAAAGATGCCAAGGAATTTGTTTTACTGACCACGGTGGTTGTACTTACCTGCTGGTGATGAAGGCATTGCAGAGAGAAAAGAAAGAAGTGGTGGCCTTGGCGGGGGGGCTGGAGCAGAGGAGGAAGAGGGCGCCGAAACTGAGGACGCCGTGGCAACCGGAACTGGAAGCAAACCCACACCAAGAGTGGTGGCAGTGGGAAGAGGCGGGCAAACGATAACCGCGGGGGGTGAGGAAGGAGGTGGTGGGGGCGGAGGAGGAGGCGGAGGAGGGGGAGGTGGAGGCGGTGGTGGTGGCGGCGGCGGAGGGGGTGCTATCGGAAGTCGAATACCAGATTTTCTTAATGGAAAATGTGCCATGTGGACTTTTGTAATAAACATTTATTACAAAGCACTGACCTGCAGACGTTGAAATTGACATAAGAGGAGGGACAAGAAGAGTTTTAGTGGAAGTGGAGGGGGCGGGGACAGAGGGTTCCTTCGGTGGTGTGGGTTGTGAAAGCAATTTCTGCCGTAACTCCGCAGGCATCGAGTCCGCGTCGATGAGAGCATGACCCTCGAGCAACGATTGGAAGGCTGCGGGGGTCATGTTTTCAACCTCCGTCAGAAGTAGGTACGTGCAACCCTCGCGCTCGTCCCAGGCATCCTGACAAAGTTGCTGGTTCCGACTCACGCCGAGGTTAGCAGCCCAGGCGGTCTTAATCTCACGCTGGTCCAACATCGACCGATCGAGACTTCGACGCGCACGGGCAGCGGCCGCGCGACTCTCAAAGGTCACGAAAGCGCACCCACGCGGGGGAATGAGATTGCACTCGAGGATGTGGGCGCGGGCCGCAGCCTCGCACACCGCCTGCAGTCGCGTCTCGGCGAGCTGCTTGTGCAGATGGCCGACGAAAATTGTGCGCGAGACGAGGGAGACGCAATTGGGGCGCAGCGGGGGCAGGGCCTCGCGACGGCGTCGGCGCTCAACCTGACTCGCCGTCTCATCCTCGTCTGCACCGCCAATGACGTAGAGGGCGGCGGTTGCGTGGTTCGACGCTGGACTTGGGGCTCGCTGCACGGGAGCCACTGGAGCCGAAGACTCCGGCGACTTGCCCGGGGAGGATGACGGTGAGTTAGAGGATGATATAGATGATACGCGACTGAAGTTAAGACAACAGGGAATAGAAATTAGCCTAAGCATTTAAATAATGCCTGCTCAGTCAACCCAGAATGGATGTGTCGCATAAACAAAATGTAATGAAGAACACGCTTGTACGCAATTGGACCACAGAGTAGCCATGGCTTCTGAGAGGAAGTGGACAAAAACCAAGCGGTCGAGCAGTCGTCTTTAAGAACGACGTCCATCAAACATCGCGTTGGTTCTGGACCTAGCTTAGAGGGGCAGTGGAATCAATGTTCTATCGCAATGGCCACAAATCCAAGTCATTAGATCGCTCGTTGAAAATGGGTGATGACCGATATTTCGAGGGAGCAGAGGTATTGTTGATTTGCTGAGGAACATGGTCAAGAGCAAAGCATACCCATTAATTTTGTGAAACAGTACATGCCAGTACATATGCATAAATGCAATTTAAGACCAAAAGCCAAGAACTCAACACCAATTCGTAATACAGCAAGTAAGTGATATGCTTGACAGAAAAGAAATGAAATTGAGAGCAACGTATTAGTGCATAATAAAGAACATTCGCGAGGGCACGTCGCATAAGAAGGCAAATTGCGAATGCGGTTTAATGCTGCCATGTTTTGAAAATGGCGTAAAACCCTGTATGGAATCATCTAACACGATGATAAGCTACACTAGTCAACCGTTTGTCAGGATACCCATTTGAGTAACAATGCAGAAGAATTGGCTTTCGAAGCAGATGTCATTAACATCGCTTAAGAAAAGCTTAGACACATGCATTTCATCAAAAGAAAATCAAATCTGTCTCACTCGTGCTTGGTGCGTTTTCGAACGGGAGAGGCGTTGGTGTCGTAAAGCAAGGAGGTTGGCGAAAGGTGATGCTGGTGACGGTGAGTGTGGCGCCTGCGCAGGTTGCTGCCGTCGCCAGTCGTTGTGGGTGCAGGACGATGGTTGTTGTTCGACGCAATGGAATTGGAGGCGACGCCGCCCAGACGATCGTCAAAGGAGCTCCCGTCGGAATGCACAAAGTCACCGGGACCAGTGGCTGTGGAACGCTGAGTCGTCATTGTCTTGCGGTTGCCTGTCATCGCGATAGCGGGGATTGACGATGACTGGCTCTAGAGGAGGAAATCGCACAGAACCACGTGACAGCATCAACGACACCCAATATACTTTTACAAAGGAATGCCGTTATATTTCTACAAATGGCTGACTATTAAATACAAGCAATTCAGCCAGCTGTACGCGTAAATATGCGTAAAACAACACAATTGATTACTGAAACAGCACCTTATGCGCTTTTTGCAGACAAATACATATTAGACGTTTAGGATTAGGAGATCGACCTACCTGCTGGCGAGAAACAGGCAGTAGATCTCTGTCGCCGTGAATGGGATTACTGTTGTTGCGAAGGGTGCGCTGATGTAAAGATTCACCCCCCGTGGAGCATGCATTATTGACATGGCACTCGTTCAACTGTTCTTGGATGGCTCTGTTCTCTGCAAGAGTTTCAACAATCGCCTTCAATTGCAGAAAGAAGGTTCTGTCCATTGACGGGCTGGAACAGAAAAACCCGATTGGCAGAGCAAACTATCAACATCTCACGAGTAATTGATCTGAATAAGGCAGCAGCACTTCCATGGAAGACCACTTCGCAATCGGAGGGCGGTGGTAAACCGACATGCTCAATACACAGAAGGAAATGCCTTTTCGAAGGTCTTGCTCTTTTCATGAACGCAGCCTCAACGCACACACCAACAGACTACAAATTGCGTGATGGGAAACGTGGACTCTATAGGTGGTAGCGATTATCCCGCAGATCGCAATTAGAAAGCAACGCAAATTAGCACACCCGGTGATGTACACAATAAAAACTGATACAAATGTGGCTTTAAAGGAAAGGCAAGATTTGAGGCTCCATCAAAAGCACGAAGATTCATGATGTCAAATTACCACGTCCACAAACCATCAACTGTGATGCCAGCAACAGCTGATAAGCCTGAGGCGCTCGTCTCATGTTGCACTTAGTTCGATGTGAGAAAGAATTTTGCCGAAGTCATGGAGACGGTAAACAGGCTACATAATGCTACCTGTGGAAATGTCGGATTTGGTTGCAAAATGCTTTGAAATCGCTGTATATATATATACGTACACTCAAGTTGTGCTTACAGCTCATCAGACCAAAACAACAACCAGGTAACGCTTGTCATTAGTAGCTGATAATGTAACAGCCATGGTTATGTCCACTCAGGGAACAAGTTATTACCCGACTTGGATTGTCTTTAAGTTTCCAGTGCAGTTTTTTTACAAACCAAGTTGGTAGAACGAGTGCACATATAAGCATACATTTGAGTTTTAGAATAATATCAAGTTTTGCCGTTACAACTAGCAGTACCAGGTCTACACGTGTGAACGTGTTCTGCGATGATAAGTGAGGTTTGTACAACAGCTTGATGTCAGCAATAAATGACAAATTTGAAGGGCACAAACGAAGTTTTGCTGGTTTGCAAACTTGACTTCCGTATGAGTAAAAATTAGAGCGTTGTACGCAGGAAACGTGGTTATTTCGAGCTCATAGGCGGATAGGGGATGATTGTCCGCCCAAGACATTTTTATTTATAGAGGGCACACGATGAGCACCAAGTGTTTCTAAAGGCGATCTAATGACCTTCGAAATAGTCACTACTGTTTCAGTGCGCTATGAAGCGCCTCTCCAGGGGTAACTGATATCACCCAAAAGTCCATGCAGACGCTCCCTGAAACATTTCAATTTCACTAACGAGACAGAACACCTACAAAAGTGCAAGCACTCACTGGTTCTCTAGTTGAGAAATCATCAATTCGAGCTGGCTGACGACTTCTTGGCTGATCATCTGACCTTGACCCAAGAGATCAAGCTGCTCTTGAATCTTCCGCTGAACCCACTAGGAGCAAAAATAACAAATGAACTACAAAAAATCCATAAGGTTAAGCTTTCAATGTGAAAATTATCAACTTATGTCCTGCAGTTAAAAACAGAGACCAGATTAACATAAGCTGTCTCAAAGGGAGTAGAAAGTGGACTTCCAGGTAGGGGAAAATTGTGGAGTAAAATTGCCTTGAGGTATGTCGAAGATCTTATCAAGAGGAGAGTAGTCACGAGAAGTAGACGAAAGGCATATCATGGGCAGAGAGGAACATCACAAGATTATTTAAATAATGAGTGATAGAAGTTCAAAATGCAGTCTCTATAATAACACAAGGGGGCTGGATCGACACGATTAAGAGCGTAAAAGCTGATTAGAGGCACTCCTCTACAAACTAGGGACTGAAAAACAACAGCTTGAGGAAGTATCCAACGCGATAAGTAACTACATGGCAAGTGTAAAATTCGTTCGCAGAAATTAGCTACTACTTCGATACATGAAGCAACAAGTTCGGAGAGCTTGCTCAAATGAGACTGACCAGAACGAAAAATTTATGTTAGAGTCGATTAAGATGACGAAGTAATTATACTAAATCGTGGAAATATGGCGAAGGAATCCAGAACCCAAACCATATTTGCCGCCAGACATTGAAATCCGTAAGGGTTAGATGTCATGGCCATTTTAAGGCGAAATTCAAATTTAGTTTAAGATATCAGACATACGAACTGCGCCAGTAAAATTATATCAACGGACAGTAAAATCACGGCCAAAACTCATGTGACAAAAACTGAGGGGTCATTCCAAATATCCAAAAAGAAAACTTAGGGCGGGTTGCTGAGAAATTTACCAGAAAGCGCAAATAACTATAACAAACGCCATGCGGTGATCAGAAAAATATGTAACGTTAGAGCCTTGTATATGCACAGACGCAGGAACTAGAAACTGATTATTCACAGAAGCCAGCAATATAAGACCCGGTGCGTGGGATAAACTCTAAGAACTTCAAGGTAATGGGTAAAAAGCGAAGTTCTAGTGAAAAGAAAGGACGTCCAGAGAAAAAACCAAATAAAGTGAAAGAGATCTCAAGTAACCTGGCGGTAGGCAAAATGAATATTAAACTTGTCTGCAATGGCAACACAAATGACGTGGTGTGAAACTGCAGATCGATGAAATCAAAGCAAAATTCAGGTAGGTGCAAACGAACCTGAATAGCCTTCTGCAAATACTCCTCACTGTCTTGAGGTAAATTCAATCGCTTGACTCTACGCGCTTCGAGTTCGGCGAGCGATGATGCCGTGAGTTTACGAGCTAAACGATTAGAAGAGAAGGGACGAATTACCCAATGCAAGAAGTTCAGGGTTTTCCGGGTTGTCAACCAAATTTTGCAATACATTAATAAGACCTTCAGGAAAGACATTGACTTTCCTCCATAGCTGCAACACACGAGATATCAGCGGCTTGTCATCAGGTGAGCATTGCGACAGTGATGAAAAAATGCTTGCAATGTTTCGCAAAAACCGAGGACCATAAAAGTCCTTTTCATTATTGTGAAGCTTTGATTGACGCACAATAGCATCAACAATGTAGAGTCCTGGAAGTTTAAAGTCCGCCGAGCATTTAAGAATAAATTGCTCGACTAACTTCACAACATGTTTGTAATATTTCATGGCGCGCATTGCAGCACGAGTAATAGATTCCATCTTAGTTTTAGAAACAGGCAATCGGCTTGCCAGAAGAGTTTTCAACTAAACGAAAAATTAAAACAGAATAGAAGTACCTCAGCATTGAAAACCCTAACGTCCTCCATCGCTCCTCAAAGATAAGGTGAACTTTTTTTAAATCAGCCTCCGTTATTAGAGAATAGTAAAACAACATTTCGAAGATACGAAAAACGGAAAGGTTAACTAACTTACCGTCTATTAAAACTTATTTAAAAGGTCACACACATTGTAAGTATCGCAAATCACTTTATAAAGTTTTAAAAAGGTTCTTTAAAAAATAAAAATGCAATTTCAATAAATTTCTTAATGAACACTTAAGTGATACAAGAGAGCAGCTCTTTTGTGATATTAGAAACATTTGCGTTGCCACTGTATGCATAACTGTAGACTTAGTGCAATATACTCAATAACTTATTACCCACTCATACAGACGTCAATAAATATAATTTTTGTTATATACATGATTCACGTACAATTTGCATAAGATCTGTTACAAAAGGTTGAAGTTATTATATTGCGCAATTGAGAATTGATTTGTACTTCCTTTTTTTAAATGTGGTAGATGTTTCCACTCATTAAAATTAAAATGGACTTCACTTGTTTAGGGTCCCTAAGGAATCATAGTCATGGAGACAGTTGACAAAGCAAAATTGAATGTTCATTTTTAAACACAGATCTTAAACTAATTTTATACTTAGCCATTAAGAGACTTTAGAAAATTAGTATTTCGGTTTAATTGATTTTGCACAAAGTTGCTACTAAATATCTTATGTCAACCTGATTTTGACATTGAGAAAGATTTTGCCTGTATCGTTAAATTTGAAAAAAAATGCTTATTTAATTTTTACTACCCTAAAATACTATTTTACCCTAGATTACGATAAAATATCTCTTTATTATCTGTCTAATTTTTTCACATTTTTTGACATCATTGATTAAGAGAAAATTGGATCACGTATACTTTTGCTAATCTTATTAAAATATTGATTACTCCATGTTTCAAAAGTACTTAGAGATTCAAAGTATTCCAAACTCTTATTCCATTGCATGCCATCATTTTTATATTGATTGGTTACAAACATTAGCCAACTACGCGGTAGGCTTCTGCCGTCGTCCGTATATCCCGCGTAGAATATCCAAGTCCCCGGTATGGAGAAGTCTAGTACCAAAAAACAGACCTCACTGACGTATCACGAGCCAGAACAAAGTCAGGCACCGTTCATCCGAGTCCACCACGCTTGCTGCGCGGCCATTTATTTACCCCTTCTCATGCTTGTTCGTCTCTGGTTGGCTGCATAGCTTCCTCGCAAGCCATTGGGAAGCGAAGAGACAGAGTATTGGCTGAGGCCAACAAGGTCCAAAGTGTCTGCGCCTTTTAAACGTCGCTAACAGGCGACCGTGATTTGTTTGTGTATCAGGTGGGTGATGTCATTTGAGGTCAAATCTTATTACTTTCAATTTCGTGTATGATTAATAGCCTACCGATTACATGCGCATAAGCAGGGTTTGAGCCACTTTGAGGTCCATTATTGTTACTTGAACCATTTCTGTTTAGTTAAAGTTATTGTGACAGCGCAACCAGTCTCAGAATTCATTATAATGTAATTTAATCATCTTTCAGGTTTTTTTTAAAAGGTTATTTTCATGATAATTTCTGGTTTGTATTCCTTGCTTTCGGGAAGTTTTGAAACTGAAATTGTTGAATCGAGATTTGATGTGGCACAATGCACACATCACCATCACACCATTTGTACGTAGAACTTGAGCCAAATTTCCGTATAATTAGCGTCGCGCCATTCCAAAATCGCGATAACTGCGCTTCTTGTTGTACGAATCTAAATTAAGCGAGTTACTGGTAGAATTTGTTGTATTGGCCAATGTATCAACTAATGGTACGTTTTGCTGATGCGATTTCGGCTGTTATACTATGTTTGCACGATTCAATTTGCTATAATTTTGTTTGTGTAGATGTCAGTTGTTGGTAGTACGACACTGTTTATTATTAATATTGCGTATTTTTCGCCTTCACATATTGGTTGTGAATAGGGTAGCGCTTTTTTTCATGACTTCACTGGTTGTCTGCATAAATTGCCTCTCTTATACTTTTTATCTGTGCAAATTTTATGTTGTGGCCTTAGAAATGTTTACGTATTGCGTGCATTTGTCCTACAGCTCTTACATGGAGGCGATCTACAAGTCGTTAACAAAGGAGGTGGAGAAGTTGCAGGAAGTTGAGGCCAACATTCAGAAGCGCTTGCAAGCCTTTCAGCAGTTGGCTGGGCAGTTGTCGGAGAACGAAAATGTGGACAAGGACTTGGAGGAACTGACGGAAGACAACAAGGTCTATAAACTCATTGGACCTGTTCTTGTCGAACAAAGCCTCGAAGAGGCGCGTGACACCGTCAAGAAGCGTCTTAAGTACATTCAGGATGAAATGTAAGTCGTTATCGTTTTGAATATCCGCTGTTCTGCTAAGCTTAATTAAGCGCATAAATCACGTCCAAGGTAAATGATTGACTATACCAACTCGTCCTTCTTTCTGCAACGTTCAAGAAAATTGACCGCTATATTTAATTACTGCTACATCCCACCATATACATTGACTATCGCACTTAATTTTACTGGACTAGTCATTGCGTATTCGCGCATTTTATCACGCACGATTGCGAAAGCTAAATTACGGTGGGATGACTTAGTTGGGTATTGGTAATCTGAATTTACCAAACACAACCAATCCTTTGACTAAGTTTTTATGTGTGCATGTCAGACGAAGTTTGTATTTCGCAACCTGGTTGTGGCTAGTTCTAACAAGTGCAGTAAGCTTTACAAGGCAGGTTTCGCTACTATGGCCTCATGAATCCTGGAAATCTACTTCGGCTTATGTCTGAAACAGTCACTGGCATTTGACAAAAGGCGAACTAAAATACCCACAACGACAACACATTTTATTCTAGTTTTTTTAATCAAACTATGGTCATTTTAATCTGCTGTGATTTGTCATTTAGTTTTACCAAGTACCTCCTTTCTCAATTTCCTGTATTCTCATGTAGACTTTATCATGTGGTTCAAAAATATTTCTCTAGTTTAAATTATTTGTTACGATTTTTTATTAAAAATTGAGAACTGTTGTTAAAGCATTATTTCTACACCTTAATCATTCCAAACGTAAATGTATACCTGCAACTTTGATGCTAGTAATACTTGCTGAAATCTGTATAAGTAACGTGTCTTCTAAGCCTTCAAGCTTTTTTTCTCATGCTTTCACATCAAGCCTCGATCCTACAAACGTTGCAGCGCACTCTCACTAAAAGTTTTTTTTTCGTTTGCGTTATTTTAGCCATTACACAATGTGGACTAGCTCTTTAACTATGGTGATACGTTAAAAAACCATGATTTTTCAGTGGTTATTATCTCTAACAGATTTGAGCTTCACTAATCGAATCAACGTGGATAGCACATAATAGGCAGTTGGATGATTCATATTCATGATGCGATGGGGCTCCTACGCATAACGTAGATTCTTCTGCACTTGCCAAGGGGTCTTTCGAAGGCATCCTGTTCACACATTCCGCATTGTAAAACGTCTGCATTTATGGACTATGTTTAGGTGACTTATATTTTCATTTTTTGGATGGTCTCTTTGTCGAAGCGAACTGAAATGGGGCGGTTCTTTAGCTGAAGTACTTACTTTCTTGTTGCAGGAAGAGGAACGACGGTATGATGAAGTCGATGGAGAAGCAACGTGATGCCCATCGCGAGCAAATAGCCAAGCTGCAGCAGCGTTTTCAACAAGAACAAACCAAGGCTGCGCTGAAAGCCTGAAGCACATTCTTTCTGCCTGCCTTTCCCTTTAAATATATATTCGCATTTGATCTTTTGCATTTTTTTCACCAGTCAGTGTAGGTGTTTATGTGGGTCAAAGATGTAGTTGATTTGGCTTGGGGTTTTTTCAGTACCTTACTAACGCAAATGTGAACCACAAAGATGCTACTTGACTCGACTGTTCTGTTGAGAGAAATACTCATTTTTGGCAAAATATCGATGTTTTGAGTCCCAGTTGTGGCTTTTGTGCTCAAATGGGTGTGCGTTTAAGGCCGTCAAGGGGCGAATCACAATTTTTCAACATGGTTCTGGGTAGACTGGCCGGCTCCTGATAGTTGGTTCCTGGTCATTTCCAATTTCCTAATTGACCACCCTGGCTGTAAAGGATCGTAGCATGCAGTAAACTAAGGGGAAGATAGCCCATATCGGTAAAAAAAGATGACTTCCAAAATAGAAAAACCTGCCAATTTTTTAGCTCTGCTATTGACGTTACGGTGGATTCACTGATAAAAATTACGTGCTGTATCACCGGTAGTATCGTGTCAGGATTTGAATGACAGATCGCTTTTAAACACCTGCAGCGAATCGTGGCAATTATTTGACCAATAAATAGTGCTAACAGTGCATAATTTTATCACTGGCTTAATGTGTTTGGATTAACAGCTATGGGAGACATTTTATTCTTTTATGGTCTAAATTGGCTAGATGATAATATGAGGCACGCGTGAAGATGCAGCCGCCGTATTTTATGAATTCATTCGAAAAAAATATCACTTCCAAATAACATAAAATTCACTTACAGGAGACTAAATTTGTTAAAACTAAAGGAAAGTGGACTAAGAAAATACCCTATCAAAGGAAGGAATATCACCTGAGTCTGCAGAATTCTAAGAAGTAATAAATCAGGAGTAAGCAAAGTTAGGAGACTGGGAATTATTTTTTGCTACCTTGTGAATAAGAACGTATTAACATTTGATTCAAACTACTACAAACGACATGTTTGGAAAACCGAAAACCGTAAAATAATTTGGCAAAATGCAATAAAGATTTTTGGTAGCAACCTAATTTTTTCATTTTAATTTCGACTACAGTTTTCCAGCATGTCGAGGTCGATTCAAAAAATACCTTTTTAATTATCTTCGCTACCGTCATCCGTTTACAAATGCAAACACCACAAGTTTTAAAACCTAACCACTCAGATACGTAATAAAGCTTTAAAAAGTAAAGTGATATCCTGGTAAGCAGGAATGTTACACCAAATTTGATGTCTTTTTGACTGACAAACGTTTCGCAATGTTGCATTTCGAACAAATTAATAAAAGCTGCCAGGTGGCTGCTATTTCTGATGTGAAACTTGTGAAGTCAGGAAATTATCGGTGTAAAAACAGCTTGTTAAAAAAGTAAAAGATCACCTCCCTACTTGCAAAATCACTTTATTACAAAGGCGACCTGATAATTTTAAATTGCCTTGAGTACTTATATGAAGATGTAAAAGAGGATATCAGGTATATTAACTTTACAGTGAATAATATAAGTCCTTTAAAATTTAGGTAATGTCGAGTGGTTGAGTGACAGTTTAAAATTCTCTAGTGGTTTACATCAAAGTAATTTTTATTATAATAAAGTGGTCAAATACTATCAGAAGGTTAAGAACCTATACGTTCCGCAACCCCGCGAAATAATATTTTTTCTATTCACAAGCACAAGCAACTTCACTTCACGTAGAATTATTTTACAATAATGAGGAAGTTGAGCAAATGAGGGATTCAGTTAAAATTGAAAACTCTAAAAAGGAGAACCTTAAAATTAACTTAATGACTGAGCATGCAAGAAATTACCATAATCAAAATTAAATAGGCAAAACACGGTATATACAACAATTCAGAACGATGTGTTAAATTATTATAAACACCTGTCAAAAGTTTTCGATTTGCAAATTTACCTTTTTTTGTTTCTGCATTGCTAAATGCAGGTTTGAAATGTCCATGTGCTTTTAAAAATGTACTAATTGACAATAATTTTTTTGATTTAAATTTGTTTGCGCAACAATAGGGTTAATTTTCATTTGTTCGCGTCAGTCCAACCTTGAAATAAATCAGTTGCAATCCCTTGGCATCTAATTGGCTGTCGGTTTTTTTAGTTTGGATCTTTCAGCCAACTTGGAAATCGGGGTAATTTCTTATTAATATTTGTGGCTAACTTCGCTGTTCGGCCTTTTGATCGATTACTAACTCTTGTTCGATATACTAATGCACGTATTGCCACGTCGTTGCGTTTAATGCAGATCCGTACATTGTTATGCATTTAATGCTTGCGTAATATGACGCCGTCCTGACGTCAATGTGGTATTCTGATTGCGTGGTTTTCCTTTTCCGTTTTTTTGGTGAAAATTATTTTTGGCGTTATTAGTTGTAATTCTACATAACTTTTAATTTCCAGCAAATTTAAATATTTGTGGAATAGGATCGAAGTAACGTGGTCGTTTTTTTCTTATTTGCCGATTTTGTTTACTGTCAACCAAATGTCCTAACAAGGCTTAGTCGGAAATGAAGTTGAAGTTAGTATGGAAGTTCAACGTCTACAAAGATGTCTGGCTTTATGTGGGGTAATCACGGTTAAAATGCCCTGAAATTGCCAGGCCAACCACATTTTCAACAATTGACATTCTAAATGTGAATCTACCAGAGTGATCCATAACGATGAGCTCAACCATGTAATTGTTAAAAGTGATCTTAAAAATTTTAAATTGATAACTAGGACGGTTTCATCTATAATTTTTGAGGTGACTGTTTGTGTGCCATCCAGTCATATTCGTTAATTTCTCAATGCGTAAATCCTAACGCTTTTTGCAATTTAAGTTATACATCTGCAGGAAAACGGCCTTTGTTGTACTTTGTTGCTTTAATGCACCGCCATCCTTAACAAGCTAATCTACTCTGCCCAAAAAAACTACGAATTTTCAAATGTGGCAGAACCATATTTTGGCGTGAAGTGGTTTTAAACTCAAAAGCATCCTCAAACGTGTTCTCGACGGGCTAACCACACAATTTAAATAAAACATGTTTAGTAAAAAATATGTAAGTGAAACCTCAGGGAAATGTTTTGATCAAGTTCAATGCGTTGGCACATTCATTGCTTCTGAGAAAGATTGTAGACTGTCGATCAGTTGGCTGAGCACACTTAAAGATAATAGACTGGATGCGAACAATGCAGATGCACTACTCGGCTTATTCACCAGTTCCCACTGGCTTTTTAGTTTGTTGCCCAAAATGAACTTGGCAACACTCTGGTCACTTTCGTGGGTGTTTGAGAGAAACGTATCTAGTTGCGATAGCTTTTGCCTGTGCTTTTGTCCGATTTTCGTCACACAGTCTTGTGTGTATCTCTTGCTTGTTCTCATGTCTTGATTTTTAGCAACTAGGTGAAACCAAACTGATAAATGACATGTGTTTAATTTGTCCGTTTTCTTAGAAAGCTGATGACAAGCTTTCCTTCCGAGTTCGCTGCCAATCAACTGAAAAAGTATGGCTGGTCTGATGGTGAGTTCTCCATTACTTATCTAGCATTGCTATTTTGTCTTCTTAACAGAAATGTTCGTATTGCCTACTCAGCACTATGTTATTTACTGGACTGTTGCTTATGTTTTAACACAGGACTGCCGTTATAAGTAGGAACTAATTTGATCATATTTACTTGCATAACAAACAGTTTTGGTAGCCGAGAACTTCGGAATGTACGTGCAGGCTCTAAATCTCGTAAAGCCTCACTTCGCTTTCTCCAAGTTTAGGTGAAGGCCTTGGCAAAAATAAGGACGGTATTTCCAGACCAATCAAGGCGTCGATGAAATTCAGTCGACGGGGTCTTGGAGCAGTTCACTTGACTGCCAGGATGGATGAATCGTTTTGGTCGGACGTCTACCAGGAAGCCGTCTCACGAGTGTGTGACAACACTTCAACACCAAGCAACATTACCACTACCTCGGTCCTTCCGAAAGTTAAATTTGTTTCCGCTAAACATGATCAATCACGTACGGTTGAGAAGAACCAAAAGAGACGGCACACAAAGGTGGTCTTTCAGCTTGGATCTGTTCTCAGTGGTTCGGGAGAACATACTGTATCACCAAGGGACGCTGAAGTAGCATGCAACAATGAATGTTTGGTTGTCGCAGCGACTAAGGAAACTCCAGGTACATCAACAAGCAAAAGGTTAAAAATGGAAGAGAATGAATGCGATTCCAAGTCGACAAAGCTCGGTAGTAAAGAGTCACTTATTAAGCAGCCACTGCACTCCCTCTCTGACACCTGTTTGCTGGAAATTGGAAAGGGCCGGACTGGGCATCCAGCAGCCCGATTTGGCATTCGTTGCGGCGGAAAGCTAGCCCGAGCTGCAAAGTTCCTGTAGCATACTTGTCTCGAATTGTATATTTTTTCCACTTTGTATACAATGCTTACAATATCAGATACACCAAATCTTATATTGTGGGAAGTTGCTGTGAATGTTTGAAGTTAGGAGCACCTATGTCAGGGATAGTCATGATGAAGCGACTTGAAGGCGGTGTCCACATTGCACTTACTTCATTCGGTTAAATGAGACAAGGTTAGGCTTTAAATGGTTTTGGGACAATTAGTTTAATATTATTTCACAAACTTGGCACGTATTACCTGAAATAACCAAGAGAGGTCTGGCAGTAGCTCCTGTGGTGCATCCTGTTGTATCTCGAAATCATCCATAAATCGACATTTGTGTAAGATGGCTTGGTGTCCTTTTCTAGTTGATGGCATTTACTTGTGTGACAGGACGTCGCTTTACGACAAATATCAAGTTCTACATGTTTCAATTCTAATGTCGGATATTTAGCATAAATAAACTAGTCACACGTTGGTAGTACATGGTATGTAACAAGTTTATGTCTTAAGACGTTACTCTGAATTGTGCTAGAACATTCCTTATTCCGGTGGATACAATCGGCAGTCGATTAGTTGGAGTGAACTCCTTCCTTCAGAAATATCAATGTAAAAATTTTCCATAGAATCCTCACAAGACGCATGTTCTGCTAATTCCCCGAACCATGATACCAGGGCTTGGATTAGTATTCGACTAGGTAATCGTACAAAATCACTTGACCTTTACCTTTGGTTAGACTCGATGCAGGTTAGTGGATGAAGGCGACATCAATACCAGGGGCAGAACTTGTTAGACACCTGGTAAAATCTGTTATGGGGTTTGTAGTAATTAAGTACACAAAAAATGTGTGCATTATTGCACTTGATTGCAAACATTGGCGTCGGTGAATCTCATTCTAAATGGATAATTTTCAAGTATGCGGGAAGTGTTGAGCCAAATACGAAGTTAGTGATCATAGCATAGTTTGCATTGCGTCCTCTAAGTTAGAAATGAGATTCGGTGAAGAGGACTGAGATCAAAATTTATTTCCCGCAATTTCATTCTGTCACGCCTTTTCACTTCATGGCTGTAGCAAGAGATTACCTGCGTATCTTCTTAGCTCGTCGACTTAACAATAAGCAGCTATTTCACGGATAAAAGTCAGTGTAAAGGATTGTCTGAGAATTATATCGGCAAATTATATAATTGCAGTAAAGTTAAGGAATCTTTAAGATTAGTTTCTAATTTAAATTCACAAAATGACATTACATTTGAACGTATTTGTTTAAGAGCAAAATTTAAGTCAGTTACTAAAATGACACTTGTTTATTGTGTAACGAGATGCAAGTTAACGTCGGATAAGAAATGAATTATTTATTTAAAAACCGCCTTAAATTTAAAGAAGGAGCCACAAAAGGAAAAATCCTACAATAAAGCAGTCCAAAGTTTTATGGTATAGAGAAACAGCTAGCATCAAGGGAAAATTAAAATTACTTTATTGAAGATTGCAACGCGACAACATGCGACGAAAAAATTAAACTGAAAAAAATTATATTCATACGACCTGTATATTCATTACAACTGTCACAATTACTTGCTAGTAAAAAAAGGTAAAAAACATTTTATTAGAATAAAAAAAACTTGCTAGAGATATAAAAAATTCGAGAAAATATTGCAACAAAATTTGTAGGAATGGATGCAAGCACGAAAAGCAACCATTACATACAAAAGATTACCAGATTTTTGCAAACAAAAAAACACAAGTGTAACAAAAAAATACCAAAAAAGTTAACCACAAACCAGAAAAAGAAGGAAAAAAGAAAGTTTGTTTAACTAGGTCAAGACAAAAGGAGGGGTTTCTACGCGCGTTTCGCCGAGGGCTCCGTTTTGCTCAAGCAAGTTAACGACATTAACATTATTTTCCTCCTTAACATGATTATATTATCAAAAATACATATCATGACTATTTCTAAGTTACTATTTCTCCTTCATTTATTACATTTTTTATACACCTATTTCATTTGCGTTCTAAGCTAAAAGTCAACAATGCCAAAAATCTTGGCCGTGCAAAGATCGCAAGGCCGAATGATTGGAGTGGTAGGGGGCGGAGTACGTAGTAATAGTAGTGGGAGCAGCAGAAGTAGCATTGGAAATATTGGTGAGGAGAGTGGCTGAG